CAACTAACTTCATATATTTGTTAATATTAATATTAATGAAGACATTGTTATCAAGGCATTTTTGTTTTTCAGTTTAATTTCATGCAAAGAAAGATGAAACCTATTTATAAGAGATGAAAACGGGGAAACTGAAAAGACTATTTCACACATTTAATAAAATATTGATGTCACTTGAGTCGGCATTGGTTGGGGATATAGAGTACAATTTTGAAAATGAAAGAAATTCTGAGGTGCAGAATTTAAAAGAAGTTCCTCATCTCCTCTTGAGGCTAGCAGCTCGAAGCAACATTAGCAGCTGCTAGCATAACACTCCCAACTGTCAGCAGTTGAACTGCTTCGTGGGTAATATAGGCACTAGATTTTGTGCAATGCTACCTCAGTGAAATATTGTTTTAATCAAACAAAATCTCATTGCTATGTATACAGGAGGTTACGATGGCAACACTTTCCTGGACAGTGTGGAGTGCTACGATCCAGAGAAGGACACCTGGGCGGAGGTGACACACATGACGTCAGGACGGAGCGGCGTAGGCGTGGCAGTCACCATGGAGCCATGCCAGAAAGAGTTGCCACAGTGTCAGAAGTCTGAGAGGGAGAATGGGGCTGCATCACCGGGCTATCAGTCCGCCAACTCCGGTTTCAGCTGTCACCACAATCAACAGCACGGCGGGCCCTACAGCAAAGGCACATGAGGATCATCGCTAGTCCCTGTCACACACGCACATACACAGACGAGCACCCTGAAACTCCACTCTGTCTTCCCAAATCGAAATAAAGACACTCACAACTGATTAGAGACAGAGGTGAGCTAAAACACCACGTGCTGCCTCATTGATTCTAGAGATCAGACTTGATATGATTTTTTTCTTTTTTCTTTTAAAACTAAATCCGTAACACTTTATTTTAAAAGTACAGTGTTGATACTCCTCAATAAGGTGACACAAAAGTCATGAGTATCCACATTGGAATATCCTAAAAAGTATGCCCCCAGATCCTACAGTCAGGTTTCCAAGACCTGAAATTTGATTCATTTGTTTGTGGTAAATCTGACAGACCTCAGTTGAAGTCCTCAGTCGGACCATTATCTCCCAGGTTTGAGCCATGGGAGGAAAGGGCTGCATACTAAAAAGGGCCATTCTCTGGCTCAAAGATGGGGCTCATCAGGGGCTCTTTTACTTTAAGAGCAGCCATAGCAAAAGTTAAATCTGAGGGGAGGGAAAAAAAAAAGTTCAAATGATCCCATTTTGTAAAAAAAAAAAAAAAAAAAAAAAATTACTAAAAAAGTAGCGTTTGTCAGCATAGGCAGTAGAGTTCAAAGTGCCATTAACAATGCCTGTGGGCATTACTGTCATCAGTATGTTGTCTTGAGGTGCTTTGATGGAAAGGCACAGACAGTCAAAGTGTGGTGTGTAGATAATGATAAAGTTAACCCAGATAGCCACAAGATGAAGCTTATACGTGATAATGGGCCTCATGCAAGAACATTTTCTGTATTTCTCATCCTAAACCTCTCTTTACTTTTTCCAGTACAAACTTAAGCAGACTTTCTTAACTGTACAAACTAATAACCAACACTCCCAAATTGCTATAGAAGGTTACTTGTTCTGTTTCGTTTTGGGACAAGTTTCATTCACCCAAGAGTAAAATAAAAACAGTTTCATACTGTGCTGTCTGTAGTCGTATGGTGGACCAAAAAAAAAATATATATATTACTAAAGCTGTGTCATTACAAAGCGATGCCATGACAGAAATTCTAAAAAGTAGTCCATGACTAATAAAAAGTAGTCCATGACTGAATGAGAGGCGGCATTCAAGGGAGCATGACACTCAGGGAGATGGACGTGTGAATGTATTCCATTAAACAGAAGGTGATGTTAAACTGTTGGGTGTTATAATGAAGGGTGTTCATCTGTATAAGCTCCAAATTCATTCAGAGTAAGGCATCTTCAAACACATATTCTCTCCCTGTAGAGAGGCAGCGTATCTGTACATAACTCATGCGACAGGCCTGGACCACCCCTCACTTTTGTTTGTACATGAGAAAGTCATTGCCACACATTCTCTTAAATCACTCATACCTCAATTTTAAGATTGAATCTCTTCACATCAGTGTTTCTTGCATGAGGCCCAAAGTCACAAAATCCAGTGCTGGTACAAGATCAGCAGGACCTTACAGTAACTGCATAGTAACAAAATTGCCCTCTCTCTAATAGCCACTATGTTCATTAAATGTGAATTTTTTGGAAAAGCTGTTGGCAGATTATTGAGTGTTGCCTCTTGTAAGGCTACGAGAGAGTCTGGTCCAGTATATTTGGTATGTGGAGTGCCAAGAGAATGAAGAAACAGGTTCTGACTGTGTTTAGAGGAAAGGGAATACTGTAGCATTTAACAACTTCAAACATCTCACTGAATGTGTTTTATAAAAACACTAATTACTGACACAATTGAGAACCTCCCCTTACAGTTGACTTCTTGGTTTTTCACTTCCACAAGACCTCAGAAACAGAAGTGACCATGTTTGTGCATTAGTGTTCAGATAGTGTATGCTAATGACAAAAAACTTGCTTAAAGAAGTGTATTTGTAACAGCAATTTAAGCTACAAAGGTTTTTAAGTGATGTTTTGTACATTGATATTCTAAGTCTTGTACAGAATTTCAGAGCTCACTTTTTTATTTATTTGTTCAGATTCTTTTGGTTTTCTCGTTCCTCTAAACTGACATCAGCTTTGTATTGAATTGGACTCTGGTGTTGTGTTTTTGAATAACTAGCATGCATTGTAATTAAGTAGGAATGCCTGTTAATGCTAATTTTGGATGTTTGTAAAAAATTTGCTTCACTCTGAAAGGGACTTTTTTTCCTGTCTGTCAGTAGTTGGAATGGAAATTAGAATATTTAAGGTCTGCTTTGTACATTTTTTTTCCAGCAAAAAAATACCCTGTACAATAATACATTGTAAAGTAAAATATATGTTTATTGTACTGCTGGGGTCATGTTGTGTTTTATTAGTTCTGACCTTTTTGGTGATACATTAAAGGTTATGCAGGTGTTCAAAGCAGCAGTGGCCACTAGGGGGAGCTAAAGCTCTTTTATACTGAACAAAACCTGTTGACTATCAAATATTATCATATTTAACATGAAAAAGTAAGTGTTGCCAAGTTAGGTTTCGCTATAGATGCCAATAGTCACATTTTTTCTCTGATTTCTGTTATCCAGTCAGTCTAAACCTGTGGCAAGTGTGCCATTAATCGACCACCCATGATTGCTGCCAACACATCTCATTTCCTTGCTTAACCTGGCAGGTGGATGAGATAGACCATTATTATATTATCCAAGAGGAAAACTTCCCTGATTATGTGGGCTTACAAGAGGATCAAGGCTTGTATCTTGTCAAACACGGAAAGGCCACAGCAGCTCTGAACAAAGGAACAAAAAAATGTTGCTGCTGTTGTAACTGTGCCCAGCAGGAAACATGTCTTTGTAATATATTTCAGATGGATGCTTTACATTAAAGTCCATTAATGTTACAGACCTATATCCCTAAGTTCAGCAGGCAATACCCTCATGACTCAATAATACAATTATAGGAGCCCCTAACATTACTTATACCATACCTTACAGTACATTAGCTTTTTGATCTGATAAGATAAAGTGAAAAACAAATACTATGGTCTACACTGTATCTGATCACATCTGGTCAGTGTGTGTCTTTTGTTAGGTCTTTATTTCTGCTTTTATTTTAATCATAGACAAACAAATGACAATAGGGGGGATAGAATAAAATACTAACAAAAAAAGAAAATGCTGTAACTTTTCAAAATATGTATTTAAAGTTTTTGAAGGACAGCAGAGTAAAAGAGTTACACCAACAGCACTGCAACAAGGTATAATATCTGTGAAAAGATACTGAGGAATTAAATATACAATTATGTATATATTACTTACAGTAGGACACTTCAAGTCTTCTGTCTGTCGTTTGTGAAGTTAGCCTCAAACATGTTGAACTGGCTCTTTGAAGATGGGTTTATTTTGAAAATCTTGTCCGGATGTCTTGTATTGTTTCTCTCTAACCTGACTCCGGTGTGTTCGACTTTAACGATGAAAAAAGGCTTCGGAGTCCCTCCGGACACCAGTGGATCCTCTGAGGAAGCAGGTAAGTGAAACTCACCTGGTTAAAGCGGAATGCGCCACGTTCGTACCAATACTGTAGCCTATACGCTGATACTTTATGGACAAACTGGAAGCATTTAGAAGAAGTAAAAGTTGATTAAGGTTTGTGTGATTCCAGGACCTTTCATGTAATGTTGAAACTCTTTTAATTAAAATTTGAATTAGAGAGAAGATAGAAACCGCTCAAAAAGTTAGGTTTGGTCTGCTGCAGTGGTTTGTTTGTTTGTTTGATTGTTTGTTTACCTGTGTTAATTGTCATAAATTAAATAGGCTAACTGGTCCATTTGAATGTGTTATTACAGGGGTTGAGCATTTGTTAGTAAGTTATGAGTCAAAAAACCAATCTATCAGGAAAAAATAGCTTAAAAAATCCCCTCAATGCTTTCCCTGAGAGAGAGTTACTTTTTGTTGTCAAACTAGTTTATCCACTTTGAACCCACCTACAATAAAAGGAGCTGACTGATTATTCATTCAAGGCCACAGATACCTAAAGCTTGCTGTCAGCATGTGCACAGTGAAACCAAACAGTATTGTATATTGTGTCTTTTAGTGTCATATAACTTTAAAACATTTCACAAGATGTTCTCCAGAGACTGCACTGTGTTGAAAGCCCGTTTTAGCCTCAGTGTTCACACAGTCACTCTTTTCTCTTTCATCAGTGTGGAACAGCAGCCAGGATGATCCCAGTGGGTGAATTCAGAAACCTCGGCACAGAGCAGAACTCAAAGTTACGGGTCCTGAAACCGTGGTGGGATGTTTTCTCAGAGTACCTGTGCATTGCTATGCTTATGATTGGAGTCTTTGGGTGCACCTTGCAGGTGAGGCACCTACAAACCAGCCACTTCGTGATCATAAGCTCTTAAATCCTTAAATGTTAGGCTATGAGTGGAAACAGATTTAGAAACATAATTATTACTAACCTAACCGAACCCGCCTGATGAGACTTAAACATCCGCATCATTTGTATCTATTGTGGCATATCAGAATAGCTTGGAGGAATATTTTGTTCCTTCTCCATCTAACGGCACATGCCACAGCAATTCCTACATTATCTGACCTCCAAGTCAGGCAAAAACACAGACAGTGTAACTGAACTAACTTGTCTCTCCTGACCCACTTACTGCAGATTCAGATCACTAACTTGCTGCTTAATGTGTCTCTCAGCACCTGATTATCATTTCTGTGTCATGTTAAAATAGCACAGGAAGAAAGCAAAAGAATTAATATGTAATCAGTGATACTAAGTTATAAGTTCCCTTTCCTTTGTTTCATTAACACACTGTAGACGGCAATAAAGGTGGATGTGTTGCTTTATTAGAGAACGAAAGCACAGACAGTTCATTCTCCTAATCAGTGCAACTGTAGTGTGACAGACATACTGACAACAGCACAGCGGAAATGTCTAAGAGAGGACCAGTAATATGGACCCTGAGGTGTCTGTCTGAACCTCGACACGATCTGCAGGCAGTGCAAGTCCTACAAGATCAGAGGTTTAACTCTTTGCTCGCAGAAAACACACACAGACTACGCTGAAATAAGGTCAGAGTGAGGTAACTTTACCAATACGTGCTTAGTGTTTGTGAGAGAAAAATTAATTAGTCTTAATGAAATGTTACATCTGGTTAGTAGGAGTGGGCAATATGGATAAAATATTCTACCTAGGTTTAAATTTTATATTGCAGTATTGATGTATATTGTAAAATGTCTGGAAAATCCGTTCCAGGATCAAATCATAAGACTAGTGATTAGTCGTATGTACACCATCCTGCTGCTGTAAAAACTCCTTAGAGCACCAAATATGTTAAAATAGTTACACATTTGTGAAAAAAAATTTTTTTAGATACAAAATATGGATGGGTGACAAATACAAAAAAATAAATAAAGTATGAGAATGAACCACTATTGACCACCACACTTTCCCCCTGATACTCTGTGGCATCTACAATTAAATTAAATTTAATTAAAATTTTACCTCTAATTTGTTAGTATTTGTTAGTATGTAGCAGTTTATATACATTAAAGTGTTGAAATGAAACATCACTTTTGAAGTGGGGTTCCGCTACATTTATTTAAATTTATTTTTTTGTCTTAAACAAAGATGGTGAATACAAGGAGATAGTATTGTCGTCTATTCAGATATACTTTGACTTGAATGGTACAATTAAGGACTCTTGTCATGGTTTTTGCCACGTCACAGACTGTTTGGTGTATGTGTTCCCTTCTTCTTTCTCCTCCTCATTTATTCTTTCATTCTGTTTTCCACAGCTTACCCAAGACAAGATTGCTTGCCTGCCCAGCCACTTCACCAGCCCGACGCCTGAAGCTATCGACTGCAGCCACATTCGGTCCTACAGGGAGAATGAGACATCGCAGCACAAACTCGTCAAACCTGTGAACCCCATCATCCTGGAGGTAGTTGGTCGCAAGAACAACCTGGACATCCACCAGTACGTGTTTGTCAACCACTACTGCTACGAGAGGTTTGTCCACTGGTATGCAAAGTTCTTCCCATACCTGGTCGTGATCCACACTATGATATTCATGGTAGCAAGCAGCTTCTGGTTCAAGTTCCCTGGGACATCGTCTAAAATCGACCTTTTTGTTACCATCCTCGGGAAGTGCTTTGATTCACCCTGGACCACGAGGGCCCTGAGTGAGGTTTCTGAGGAGAGAGGAGAGGAGAAACTGGTTAGTTGGAGAAGGAACACCATGTCAAAAGATCCCACAGATCGACGAGCAGATGACGAGGAGACGACAGGGCTTCTCCGCTCCTCGTCTGTAAAGTCTAATCCAGAGAAGAAAAGTCTAGAGCCTCAGTCGACCCCCTCCGTATTGGATAAGAAGGAAGGAGAGCAGGCCAAAGCTCTGTTCGAAAAGGTGAAGAAGTTCAGAACTCATGTAGAGGAAGCGGACATCTTGTATGTCATGTATGTGCTACAAACATCACTGAAAGTCTTCAAGTTCCTTTTAATCATTATCTACACTGCAGTACTTGTACCGAACATTGAGATAGTAGTGCGCTGTTATGTTCCTCCCGAGTTGACTGGTTTTGATATCTTTTGCTGTAACCACAACAAAGCCCATCTTTTCTCCAAGCTTGCGTACTGCTATATCTGCTTTGTGGGAGTGTACGGAGTTCTGTGCATCTACACCCTCTACTGGCTGTTTCATAGACCTCTGAAGGAGTACTCCTTTGAGCAGGTCAGACTGGAGACAGGTATTAACGACATACCGGACGTGAACAATGACTTTGCATTCCTCCTGCACCTTGTCGACCAATATGATGCTCTGTACTCTAAAAGATTTGCTGTCTTTCTCTCTGAGGTCAGCGAGAGCCATCTTCATCAGCTCAACCTCAACTATGAGTGGACCGCCAAAAAGTTGCGTGCCCGTCTCGCCAGGAACACGAGCAACCGGTTGGAGCTCCACCTGTTAATGTTGCCAGGACTCCCCGACACAGTCTTTGAGATTCCTGAATTGGAATCGCTCAAACTGGAGCAAGTAAAAAATGTCATCATTCCAGCTGGTGTGGCAAAGCTAGACGCCCTTCAGGAGTTATCGCTGATCTACTGCCCTACGAAGCTCCAGCTGCCTGCCCTGAACCACCTCAAGGCCAATTTAAAGGTCCTACGTCTAGCTTTTGAAAGTTTAGAAGAGGTGCCTATGTGGATGTACACCCTGCATGGCCTGGAAGAGTTATATCTGAATGGTCCTTTAACCAATGAAGTGTCCAGAAGTGCCACTCTGGACTCCTTTCGAGAGCTTAGAGCGCTGAGAGTCCTCACTCTCCGCTCCAACCTTACTAAGATCCCACCCAGCATAGTGGATGTTGCACTGCAGCTGCAGCAGCTGTGCATCTATAACGAGGGTGTCAAGCTCCAAGCTTTTAGCAGCCTGAAGAAGTTAACCAACATAGTCTCACTGGAGTTAGCGGGCTGCGAGTTGGAGCGCATCCCAAGTGCTGTCTTCAGCCTGAACAATCTGCAGGAGTTGGACCTGAAGGAAAACAAACTTACCACTGTGGAGGAGATTTTGAGCTTACAGCACTGCCGGCGTTTAGTGACACTCCGACTGTGGCATAACAAAATCACTTACATCCCTGATCATATCAGTAAGCTGCACTCCCTGGAGACGCTGGATGTTAGCTGGAACAAGCTACGCAAGCTTCCCTCTCGGCTGTTTTATTGCACCAAACTGAGGCACCTCGATGTCTCCCACAACCAGCTCACCTCTCTTCCTCCTGAGGTGGGCATCCTGCAGGGCCTCCAGTTCTTCTCCGCTGCTTTCAACTCTTTAGAGACACTGCCAGAGGAGCTGTTCTCCTGTAAAAGGCTAAAGACGCTAGCTCTTGGCAACAACTGCCTGCCATTTCTTAGCTCCAGAGTGGCCAACCTGGCCCAGCTGGTCCGGCTGGAGATTAAAGGGAACCGTCTGGAGTCTCTACCTGTGGAGATAGTGGACTGTCCCCTGCTGTCTATCAGTGGACTGGTAGTAGAGGACAATCTGCTGGATCTGCTGCCATCAGATGTTCGAAACAGGTTGACTAACGGTTGAGCCTGCAGAGCTGAAGACTCTTTGCTCTGTGTGGCATGGCGGTCTCACTTGCGCGAGTATTAACAGAGAGTGAATCTAAGACACTGGGTGGAAAGACAGGACAAAAAGGGAAATCCTAACAGACAACAAACGATAACCAAACACTGAAAATCGTATTTATAAAATCGGTGAAATGTGTTTTCAAATCTGTGTCAGTGAGTAAAAAATCAACTTGCACATGTTTTTGAATTTTTTTTTAATGCATTTTCTTAAAAATACCTTTTTAAATAAATAAATAAAGTTTATATGTTTCCTGTAGAAACAGGATTTTCATGTAGTTGTTTTTACTGGTGTAGATCACATAGTAAGTTTAACAAGAAATATTATAAATTCAGGCTTATAAATTCAGGGTTAGATTATGGTTGTGTGGAAGAGACAAGGCTCGACCTTCAGATTGTTCTGAAGCAGCATTTTCACTCAGAATCGTGTTTCATTTGCTGAATATTTTGTGGATTCTTCAGAGCACAAGTCAATGGGTTTTCTAAATGTGCTGTATCCTGTTGGACAGGTTTTTACAGCATGGAGAAGTGTTTCCCACATTACGGTGGCTCATGTTGCTCGCTTTCAGGCACTAAACAAGGGGAAGGAGAAGAAGCCTTTCAGTAGCCAAATAATAGGTATTCATTTCTTTGTTTAGTATCCTGTCAAATGGAGAAAAGACTGATATCATATGTATGATTATGAGTCAGATGAAAGTAAAGTCAGTGTGATAGTCTGTGCAGGATTCAATAATTAATCATTTACAGAGAGAAGCAAGATAGAACTATTGTCTGTAAAATGGCTTTTAGATAGGTAATATATTCAGTGTAGTGATGTCTGTGGTGAAGGGTGATAAATTGTTCATACATACATTCTTTCAACACATTATGTAGAAAGTAATGCCTTCCCTAGATTTTAAATTTTAATTTTTTTACTATCTCTTCAGCAGAATTGAACTTTAAAAGTAAGTAAAGTTGAGGGAAACAATATATGATTTCCAGACAATGCTGTTGAGCAATATTACCCAAAATATGATGTTTATTTAATTGCACAGTTTGCACATCATACTCTGGTGCAGATACATTTAGAGTGCCTTTTGAACACACTGACACAAGGAAATAAAATGACTTAAAAGTCTGTTGCTAAACTGGAAGTCGTTGTCATACAAACAATCACCCATTTTCTTTCTTTCTTTCCTCCTGCATTCCCTCTGTGTAACATTGTGTCTCATCCTAGACACGCATAACAGACTTATACGCCTCAGCCAGGGCTTCCACTTTTCAGCCTGAACTGCAGCGCGGACGTGTCCTGGCTTGTATGCTACAGTACAAGTTAAGGACATACCTCTGTAATACTGGCGCATACACTGACCTGGCCACGCTGCCACATGCCTGCAAGGCCGTGAGAAAAGGTTTTTTCTTTTGTATTTTATCATTTAGATGGATTCGAGTATAGTGCCAAAAGTTGTCAAAATATAAAGAGAAAGAAGCTGCACAGTAGAAATTGTATGCCTAATGTCACAATGCTTTGTCAATCATTTACTTATTTCTTTTCCTCTCTGAAGATGATAGTCAAGCATGTCACCAGCATTAACCAAAACACGTCATTGCGACTAAGGCTCGACTGGAAATAACAACATGTTATGTCTCCAAGGGGGTTGCTTTAAGTTGTTAGGGGTGATATCTTCAGTTAGAGGTGGTGTACTGACTTGAGCATGAAATGCTTCGACAGTCATATTAGTGGGGTGTGACTTCAGGTCTGATTGTACTAATGCTGTGTTTACATTTGAGTAGGAAAATCAGATTGGGAGTTACTGTTGTTCCAATGTCAAGGTAGAGTTCCTGCAACTTGATGAAGTTAAAGTATAGACAGTTTGTAGGTTAATAGAGCATGTTCTGGTGTGCCTATCTTGGTTGTTATTGCACATAACACCCACGAAGGAGAACTCTATTTAGCGAAAAGCATAGGTTTGTATTTTTTTCTAATCTCACATGCCCATACATTACATACATACATACATACATACTCACCTATATACATCATTTCCCTATCCATACGGGCTGTGAGGTGAGGCTTCAGCAAGGAAACACAGTCCAGGGGAAACAAAAAGAGATTGATTTAGCCTCATATTGGCTTCAACTGAACTTCAAAATGCGTTTTTATACAGAACGACTGTATAAAACTGTATTTCGTCCCCTATTCCTTACAATATAGTTGTGTTAGACCAATTCACTTTTTCAGTGTACATGTGGGCATGTGAGTATTGTATTAAAGGTCCAGTGTGTAACATTTAGGAGGAGCTATCGTCAAAAATTTAATTGAATATACATACCTATGTTTTCATAAGTGTATAATAACCTGAAAATAAGAATTGTTATGTTTACAGTCCTTTGTACCTACATGGAGTCCGCTGTGTTGAACCGCCATGTTTCTACAGTAGCTCAAACAAACCAAAAACTGGCTTTAGGGTGTTTTGTGGCTCTTGTTTTGCGGCCGTAGTTTCTCCTTCAAGCTTGCAAGGGGAGACTGAAACAACGGAGCTGCAATCTGAAACTACACAGATAGATTACCATTAAATCCTACAGACATAAAAAATTTGTGAACCACTCACTAAAAGTTTCTAGAGCCCAGGATGATTTCTTCAACTAACAGTCAAAAATCCAAAGAGAATCGTTTTACTGTATTACAGGACAAGCAAAAGCTGCAAATTCTAATATTTGATAACATGAAACCATCAAATGTTTGGTATGTTTGCTTGAAAAATGACTTCAGCAATTAACAGAATATCTGTTGATCGACTTTGATGCAGCCCTGACAGAGAGCTAAGGGGCAATCCTTAAGGAAGAGGGGTCTAAGATTGGGACCATGCGACATCCTCAATTTGACTTTGGTTGGCAGCCTTTTCTGCAACTTCATCCCTCATTTCTCTCTCTCGCTTCAGTTACTGTCAGCTCTCATCTGTCTAGGAAAGGCAAAAACACACCAAAAAAAGAGGTGTAAGCATGCACTTAGTCAGGCGGGTGTGTTAAACACTTCATTCCTTTATCATATTCTCTCATCTCAAACAGGAACAAAAGTTCTCCCATCAGACACTTGTCTCATTGTTGTCGTCACCTGTCTGTGTGTGCTTGACCATGTGAGTGAGGGAGTACGCTGATACTGGTTTTTCTTGTCTACTCCTACTTCTCGCAAACTTGTCCCTGTAACTGTATCTCTCCCAGCTTGCAGAACAAACAAACCACAACAGTGTTTATACTGCACAGGAGTATTTGCACATCCAACAACACACCCACAATTGTGCTCACTGAAGTCAGGGAGCTCTACCTAGTGGCAGGAGGGAGGTCTGTCTGAGGCTGCATTTTTCATGTTTACAACTGTTTTGTGACTGATTTAGTTGTAAGGGTGTGAGAATATATTGAAATATTATTTGAGGTTGTGTGTCTTTATTACACAAGATGAGGGAGTGGTGGCGCAAAAGATGACCGGAAGCTGTTTCAAAACCCAAGACAAGCTAGGAAAATCTGGGCAGGGGAAGTAAATGACGCCTTTTTTTCCTCAACAGCTACTGCGGAAGTACCCTTTGATGGAGGCATTTCACCTCGGGCCGCTTCAGTAGAGTTGTTCAATGCCCAAAAAGTCAAATACTGTGGTTGGACTGCGCAGCTCCTAGCTGGAGGCTACATGTGGGACTATGTAAATCTGAAAACAGGAAGGTGAAAACAACATGAAACTGCAGACTGCAGGATATTAAATCCAGTGACGGAAAAAGTATTTGAAGCTCTTATTTAAGTCCAGCATTCAAAGTTTTACTTGAAAAGACTGCTAAAGGTATTATTGGCCAAATGTATATAAAATGTATCAAACACTAGTACTGTAAGTGTTATATTTGTATTATTAATGCATTTTAATGTTGTAGCTGGTTCAGATGGAGCCCATTTGAACTACATTATATTTTGCAAGGTATTAATGTATAACACATTTTAGTAAAGTAACTTATAACAATAGCTGGCAAATAAATGTAGTTGAGTAAAAAAGTACAGTATTTCACACACTAACATACACGGTCTTTCTGTGACATGATGAGGCTCTCCGCGGCGGTCCGGCAGCACAGTAGTTGAACTGTATCTCCTTTTTTGGCTGCTGAAGTTGGCCTGTGGCAAACAAGCAAACAAAATACCCATTCTACTATACGAGCCCTGAGCACAAACATCAGCAAATTGTGCCACCGTTACCTACAAGCCTCAACAAAACAGGGCCCTCATTCATTTTGAGTTGAGATCCTGCTATCTATGTGACCTTTGAGAGGGTTTTCACAGCGCAGTGCATTCCAGTGAGGAGTTATTATAAATGCCCTTGATGAATCACCTTGGGGAAGTGCCTAACACTTGGAAAATGTAACACAGTTAACATAGTACAGAAAGGATTGTTTTTAGGGCAGAATACATCAGATCGTTATGAATGTAAAGGGAAATGTTATTAATGTGTGTTGACAAAGGCCCCTTTAGCAGCTGAATTTAGACAAAATAACTGACCCTAAATGGATTAAGTTTATGCTTCAGTTCTGCAAATTAAAGAAGTGTCAGTGGTTCACAACCTTTAAGCCTTATGACCCTATCTTTCCCTGATCTTATGACCCGATCTACTTAGAAGCCTGTCTTGCATTGGTCAATGAGCTATGAGCAGTTTCACCAGTGATTATCACATTTAAATAAGTCTTATTGGCCAGAGGAGGTAAAACTTTCCAGTATTCCACAAGAAAGGCATTAAGAGAAGTCAGACAAAATAAGAAAGAAGTTTTTTATGTATTTTTATAAATCAAAATGTTGTTTTTGTCATCTTCCGACTCAAAGATTTACCTTCTTCATTAGGGACTGTCCTCCAAGTTGGGAAAACTGCTCTACACAATGGTCTAAATTTCAAAGCTAAATACATTTCCTTAAAGAAAAAAATTTATTAGCGAAAAATACATAAATGACCACAGTGTCTTCAATGGTAGCTAAATCAGTATACTGTTTACAATAAAAACAATGACTTCAGTTCAAGTTTAACACTTTATTTTGTGCTTTCTTCTTCAAATATTAAAGTGAATGATATCACTTTTGTTTTAAAAGTATTTATATAAATAACATTTCAACAAATCACAATAAATGTTGCTATTTACAAAGTCACGGGAATATTCAGTCCTATTCCAACAATAAATAAGAGTAAATTCAAAGTCTAAGTACGTCTAATTAAGAGAAACAAAACTATGAAAAGCAATCAGGGTGCACCATGTCAAGTTTTGTAATTTTCTTTTTTAAAAACATACACAACTGTTACAATTCTTACAAATAATGCAATAATTACAAAACACTGGGGAAACTATCTACAAATGTGCACTCCCAATTAATAGGGAAAACAGATATATAAGGTGCCTAAATTGCACTGTGCAAAAGAGGTGTCTACTGTATATAGTCACCCATCCACTGAAAAGAAGCTGCCTGTGACACATATTAATGCTGAGCCACTATTAACAAAAAATAATCCTTTACACAGCAATGAATTCAAGTCACCAGGTTTGAAGCAAAAATAAGGGTTAGGTTAGGGTCCCCCAGAAGGCACCCAGCACCCAGACTTCTGACTAACTATGAATGTGAGCGAAAAGCAAGTCAATCATATCGGGCACACATGAAGCTCGGGCCACGTCTATGGCCGTCTGACCGCTGACGTTGGCGTGCTTCAGGTCGGACCGCGGTGCCAAGAACTCCACAACATCTCGGTGGCCTTCCCGGATGGCAATGTGGATAGGCAGGGCGCCGCTCTGATCCGGGATGTTTACCGAAGCGCCGTACTCCACCAGAACCTGCACAGTGTCCAGGAATCCTGTCCGGGCTGCATCGTGCACAGGCGCTATCCCATGTTTGTCCTGCATGTTGGGGTCTGCTCCTTTTTCCAACAGCAAGCTTGCAACCTTGGAGTTTCCCATCATCATCACCTGTGGCAGATATCGGAGGAGAGGGGAAGAAGAGCGGAGTTAATTTACCACCATTGTGTAAATGTTTGTCTGGATTCTCTCAAATACAGAGACTTTAACAGGTTCAACAGCTTAATCAATAATTCAGTGTTTTATTTTAGTCCTGAAAGTCCCTTCTAACACGATCTGTAAAGTGAGACCTTAAAGAGTAAAACAATCTTTATTGACACTCACCTCTATACAATCAGTTTATCGAGTATGTGAAACAATTACAACAGTCCTGAAATGAATCCTCCCTTTGTGAAGGCTTTTATGTTCAGTTGTTGTTAAAACTGTTTTAGAGAGGTGTTGATGTATTTCACTGAGAGGTTTTATTTTACAGATAATTAATTGAAGCTTAAAGTCAATTATCAGGCAGACATTCCCTCAAATGTGAGGCTGGCTTTTTCTTTGTTATTTTACAGTTAATTACATATCTTTGGGTTTTGAACAAGCAATTTGAAGACATCACTTGGAGGTTTAGTAAACTGCAATGAACATTTTCCTCAATTAAACACAATTAACAGCACCACCAAGTACAACCTCCAAAATGATTAGAAAGTTTAAACAACACAACTCTGCTCTAAAGCAGTTTCAACAAAAAAAAAAAAAAGAGTAGTATAACCTTCATGAAGGTAGGATTTATAACAGGGCTGTTGTATTACACTGCACTAATAAATAACATGGCAACTGAGTGTATATCCTCTTTTTTTTTTATGTATTTCTAACAAGTCAAATCATCAAACACTCCACATATTGCTGCTTTCCACACAATCTCACGCACTGGGATTTGGGTACAACTTAATTCTAACATAAAAACATAACTTAATACACGGTGCTATAACACGGTTATTATGAGGAGGTAAGGAGATGGTGTCTGTAACCGAAGAACCACCCGAACTAACATATTAACACTATATTTAACACCTCGGGGAATATGAATCATGATATTTCTGAGAAGAGGTCCTTACCTGCAGCGCAGTCCGGCCAAATTCATTGAGAGTATCCGGATGCAATCTGCATTCCTCCAGGATCCTCTGCACCTCGCTTGTGTTCCCTTTGGCTGCTGCCGCCGTCAAAGCTTTACCGGCATCCATCTGACTAAGGACCATTATAGTCTCTCTCTCTCTCTGCCTGTTCGGTAGATGTACAACAACAACAACAGTCAACCACGGGCTGGTCGTGATGGCAGTAACGCTGTAATAAACAGTACAGAGATGAAACCTGGATTCAGGAAGGTTCACTTCGTGCTACAGCTAGCTAACGTTACTACAGCGTCCGGCTAACATACGCTTCAGTTCCCCGTTGACGCCATGTTATCTGACTGTAGCTAGCGTAACGTTGTATCGGGTTGATTCAACAAAACGTACGTTTTAACAAAGCTGTGTGAAAGCAGTTGTTCTATGGAGACAGACAGAGAGAAAGACAGGGGTCACGTCAACTCAATGTTATAAACAATTAGCATCCGGGCTAACCGCTAACGTTAAAAAGAGGACCAACTGTAGAGCTTTTAAACATACCTTGTTCGGTTCCTCGATGTCCACAACGTCGCTGAGAGTTTATATCCCGCTGTTTTCTAAGACCAGTAAATTTCAAATAAAATCCAAACAGTGGCGGTTTATCAACATTAGAAAATACATTTGCGCGCTGAGATCAACACAGCGGTGTGTCCAGACTACAATTTACAAACATTGGCGAGAACACACGCCGACCAATCACAGCTCGCCCAGAGGGTGTTGCTCTTCCATATATGGTAAAAGGGGCGGGGTTACAACTCTGTTTCTACACTATCACTGTGGTAACAGCAGCGGTCGACCAATCAGAGCCTGTGGTGAAGAAAGCGGGCGATTCGTATACGTTGATGTCTTCAAAGGCAGTTCATTCACATTTCTGACCTTTAGTTGTATTTCTCCAGAAGCAAGTGTGGAAAAAAGGCGGGTGTAAGTTTTTAATTTTAGGCGGAATTTAGTGACTGTGATTACACAATGCATTACTACAATATGAGGACAACATCTGCCCTTATGTGCCATTGCAAACTCTTGAGAAAAACAATAGGGCCACAACAAAAATACAATGGTTACTAATGAGACATTGTTTGGAGGGAATAATTTCATTAAACATTTAAATAATTTGAAGTGGTCCCACAATAGAAACATTAAAATCAAGTTGCACACAGATTTGATAAAAACAATACGTTAAACAGAGCAGGTGAAATTTAAAGACATTCTTTCAGTCAAGTCAAAGTGATCTTAGATGCTCCTCTGGAAGTGCTGCAAGTGAGGAATATAGAGTAATCCGCCAGGCTTTAGACATTGGTCCTTAGCTGGTAGTCTAAATAAAAAGAGAACAAATGTAAGGAGAAATTATATACATTTGAAGTCATTAAATGTGTGACCACTTGCTTTTAAAACAGTACAATATGTTGCAAATATTCACATTATATTGAAGTCTAGTGAAAAAATGATTAATGTACCTCCACTCTGTGTAATGTACCGGACCCACGGTAAAGCCTGGTAACCACTTTTTTCAATGATCTTCATATATCGCACCTGGTGAAAAAGAGACAGGGAGACGCATAACATGTTGAGGCAAGTAACATTAATGTTCAATACCAATTAAAATCAAATCTAGTTTGCCAGTCTAGCACACAATATAAGCTCTTGCAGGGCCTGACTTGACTATCTAACGACTTGTAAACGCTCAACACAAAGCAGTTATGTCACTTTATCTTTAGAGCTTTAAAATTTCCACATAAAACAAGATATAACATGTTCTGACACGCTTCAGATCCAAAATAAGTGTTTTTCTCTCAGATGGACGTGACTAATACTACCACACGGCTTGTGGTTATTTTGACATTAAAAGTTATTTTTAACACACCTGTATTCCTGAGACTGTGAAGTATGGGATTTCAAATTTGACAGTAATGGGAGGTTTTCCCTCAAGCTCGTCTTTCTCCACACTGGGCAGACCAAAATGAGCTCTCATTAGAAACTCTTTACCTCCCTGGAGGGGTGGATGCAGACACAGATGAATGTATTAGACATACAGAGAGATGGACAGACATTTCAGAATGTAAAATACAATGCAATATACATTAAAGAGAGTGAATTCAATGTAGCTGTGAATTGCTTACAGGGAAAGACTTAATAGTCCACACCACCAGGTTCTTCTCAGGCACATATTTGGCATTTCCTGTGCTGGTTTTGAACTTGGGTGAGTCAGCATCACTGGGGACAGGGACCCTCACCTCCACATTATTTGCCACAGACTGTTTTTTAAATTGTCCCTTTGCCTAAAAATACAACACAATATAAGAAAATATCGTGTTAAAGCCTATTTCTTGATGTTACTCAACAACATCGCAACATTTTGGGTGGATTTGCTTTTATTGGACAGGACAGCTAAAGATTGACAGGAAAAGGGGGAGAGAGAGAGAGAGAAAGAGAGAGAGAGAGAGAGAGAGAGAATTACATGTAGTAAAGGGCCACAGGTCGGATTCGACTCCTTTGTCGCTGCAGCAAGAACTCAGCCTTTGTACATGGGGCGCCGGCTGTACCAGATAAGCTAATGGGCACCCCGCAAATGCAACTTTAACTGTTACTGTAACGGTAGTATGTGGTATTATTGTGCATTAACCATGACAGAAAATAAATAATAGTAATCTAATTCTTGTGCTTTTCATTCTTTAACACTTTTCTTTTTAAAGCATAGTGTTAACAGTGAACATATTCATAAAAAGGTTTGTAATTTTGTTGCCAGTGAAGTTAAAAATACAGCTTGAGTTACCTTAACCATGATTTCCACTCTACTGTGAGAGAATTTCTCTATGACTGATTCAATCCATATCAGAGGCTTCACCTGTAAGAGATGAATGAAAGGGTTTCATCAAACAAACCATTTTACAATTCACAAGCAACATAAAAAATACTTTTCTTGAGTTACATGTGCATTTTATTTAGTATACATGTTAATTTAAGTCATGTGTTTACACTGATAGCACTGTAAGGCTCATGGCACATGGTGTAAGTGACAAACAAACACAATTTACTGTGAATACAAGGTACTGAATTGGACTAACATGGGTATTGATGCGGTAGGACATGAGCTCAGACTCCCCATCTGGAGGAATGAAGGAGATTGTTCGATCACTCTCAAAGCGTGACAGACGGACGCACTGGTGGAACTTCACATCCTCCATCACCACCGTCTTTCCTTTGTCACCTGAACACAACACAATACAATCAGTGGTATTAATCTAAATATAACTAAAGCAGACGTACACAGATGGATGTGGTAAGATAGAAGCCCCATACGTACGTCCAGTGAGAGCAAAAAGCACTCGATCGTTGAGGCCCAGCCGCAGTTCAGGCATCCCAGAGAGCATGGTTTTCAGCTTGATGCTACCCACAATGTCACTGCTCATCACACTACCGTTAGCATTCACCTGAAAAACAAAACAATGGTAATATTTGAGTCCATTAAAATAAACAGTAAGCTCAGAAAAAATTACAAGATATCATGTTAATATTATAGTATGACATAAAGACACTACTGCCACTGCTATAGATAGTTAAATAAGTAGTAAATAATAGAAATAACTGACTAAAGAAAACCCTACACGCCAATACTTTATGTGAATATATACTTTAGGCAACACTTGCTCTATTATGGCCTATTCAGCATAACTCGCTTTAGGCTCTAACAATGTAAATAATATTAACAGACATTTACATACAAATAATAAGACTTTAGAATACATTTAGTAATTTAGTGACTGCCTAATTAAACAATCGACTGCAACTTTTATAAGAACAAAATGTCCTGTGATTAACAAAACAAGTGGATTTTTAAAAGTATAACAGCTCGGACATATATAAATAATAAATCAGCCCTACATCCTGTCTTACCAACACGTTGATGGACTCGATGACATCAATAAAGACCTCGTTCTTCTTGTATTTGATTCCCTCTGACCTCCAGGAGACAGCGTTGGTGACGGTGGTCGGCACCTTGGACTTAGCCACCTCAAGCTTGGTCCCTTCCTGAGTGATGTATCTGCAAGAGATGAAATGAGAAGAGATGGCCCACTGTGACTCAACTCTTTATCAAGATACGGTTATGTATGTCTGTCGTGTGTGTCTTGCAGAGTCTCACTCCTGTAGGATCTTGCTGTCGGTAGTCTGAGGGAATCCAAAGTCCATCAGCTCATCCAGCAGCTCGTAGACAACCACAAAATTGTCCTGAATGCTCTCCTCCTCCAGCTCTTTGAAGTACTCTGTGAACACCTGCACAATAGACATCGGCCTTATCTGTGGTGGCTCGGTGTAACTTTGGATTTTCACTATCTTTTGCTGCCATCTTCCACTGGTTCGTCACTTAAATACAAGCTAATCCTAGCAAACTGCACAACAAATATTTACAACAAATATAAGTCTATATGTGCGTCTCACCTCGACTAGTTTGTATAGAAATGAGTACACAAGGGAGGCGTTGGCGTTCTTGTTTGTAGTGGCCACCACTGTACAGAGATCAGGTCAAGGAGTATTTTGCACATTAATGTTTTGTTACAGTCGAAGGACGTGATGTTATGAATGAATGTCTGTCACAGATCTCAATAACTAGATGTCAGTAACATATACGACAAGGATACGGTACAGGTTGCTGTGTTTGATCCACATGAAGTGAACACTGCCATGTGACAGCACAGGGCAGAGGAGCCCCTCCTCTTCATGTTGCATGAGTAAAGGCATGAAGTGGTCAATCTCTGCCATGTCCACATCGCCTTTGTAGTTTCGACAAATCAGCACCTGAATGGGGTGAATAACACCACGTGGTTATCAGACAATTTGTAGTGCACCAGTGCAACAAGGAAATAATGTGTTTCCGACAGAAGTTACAAGAAACAATGTGGTAAATCTGGAACTATACATACAGTCTGACATGCAACTGGCTTTTGGACCAGAGCTAAGGATCTAAAGGGAAAAGCTGTTACCAACAAAGATGGAACAATGTTCAATGTATTACCCATTATAATGGATCACAATATTAATGACAATGTACTTTAATAACTGAATAATTGTTATTAATAGTAACAGGTTAAAGTTTTAGCTCCTCAGCTTTCACAAATGTGAGTAAATTAAATATCGTACAAGCAATTTGGATGATATCATCTTGGCTTTTACTGTTCTGACGTTCTATAGACTATTAAGTGATTAATTGAGAAAACAATCAGCAGACTAATCAATAATTAGTAAATGTTACTACGTATTATTTACACAAGTACTATATACTATACTTATGTACAAATTTGAAGTACTTGTACTTGTCGTGATCATATATAACAGTATAAAAGTTTTACTTTTAATACTTTAAATACATTTTCCTGATTATACTTACATACTTTTACTTAAGTAAAATTCTCTGCGTGACCCTGTACAATGTTGTATTAGTGTTTTTTATTAAGTAAAGAAGCTACTTCCTCCTTCCTAGTTGCAGCACTGGTGGAGGAAGTACATACTTGAAGTCTTCAGAAGGGCCGTGACTCAGTTTTAATGAGATTCCATTACTATTTAAAATGTTCAGAAAATCCACATTCAATAAAAAACGTTTTTTACAGACCCTGAGATGTTGATGTACTAGTGATGTTGTACAGTATACTATTTATACTATAATAATTAAGTTGGGATCCTTACATATTTTTATCCCTGCCCACAAAAATGGCTGGGCCCCTACAGAGGTCAAGTCAACAGGCCTTCCCCAAATCTGCCTGAGGTCACGCATGCGTGAGTGCAGGGGCGTGACCATCGCCTGCCAAGGCCTACGCACACGGTCAACCGCACACACACCCCTTGCAGCTGGGCCCTAGAAAGCTTTCTCCTCCCCCCCTTGTTTATGGGTGGGCCCTGCTGATTGTCACTTATCTCTGTGAGTCTGCAGATTCTTTCTACTTTAACATCAATGACCTACTAATAAAATGGAAAGATAAGATGTTTAAGGACCACTGTGTAGGATCCTTTAAGACATCTTATCTTTCTCATTCTCCTTCCTAGATCTGACGACCTGTGAATGAGAAAGGGCTGTGAAGCGTGAAGGAGAAACTACGGAGGTCGTGAAAGACAGAGAAGGCCCAATCTACAGCCAGTGTTTGGTTTGCCAGTTCTGGGCTACTGTAGAAACATGGAGGTTCAACATGGCGGACTCTATGGAAGGCAGCCCACTGTGTCAGTAGATAACGGAAACACGATTCCTATATTCATGTGATTATACACTAATGAAAATATACCTATGAATATTATATTCCATCTCTGCCAACAGATCCTCCTAAACGTTACACCCCAAAATAAAACAGGTCTAACCTGCTCACAATGCAACAACCAACAAAGGTTACAGCAGGTCAGACAAGCAGCTTTGATCGCATATGTTGCTGTAACACACCATTTTATCACACACACACACACACACACACACACACACACAGGGAACCATGTGTACTTGCATTTCTAAGCAACACTAATTTGTGTGTCAGGTTACAGTTCCTGTGCGGAGAGAAAAGGATGTTTGTGCCATGTGTGTGTGTGTGTGTGTGTGAGAGAGAGAGAGAGAGACAACAAAAAGATGGTGATGTTTGTGCAACGCTATGACTGAAGGCTACAGGCACACAGTGCTGCAGCACAATGGGTCACTCTCACTTAAGTTATTTAAGGCTGCAGCCTGGGTTTCCCACTGACAGACACGCGGAAGTAAAGAAGAAAAGGCCAATGAATGAGTGTGTCGCAAGCTATTTATTAATTTTTAACGACGCAAACGCTATTAATGTTTAACAGTTAAAGTAACAGTTAAAATATTACCTAAACAGCCAAAATAAGGAATAAGTGTTGGCTCTTACATCTTAAAGCCAAATAAGCAAGTGTCAACAATGAGGTGGAGCATTAATCTTACCTTCCCCTTCAGATCCAACACAAATATAGCGGAGGCAGACATCGTGTTTGTACCCGCAGGAGCGCAACATGCGAGTCCGCAGAGCACACAAAGTTTAGTGTAAAGTCCAACTCGAGTCTTCACTTGTTTGGATTTCGTTTCATTTCATGCGGACGGGACAAATCGATCAGCAGGAGGTGATCGTGGATTCCTTCGTGGCTTTTTCCTGAAGGTGTCGTGACGTCATCACACTCAGGTGAAACATTCACCAGCTCACCTGAATAGACGAGGAAGAGGAGGAGGAGGAGGAGGATGTGCTGCTCAGTTTATCCGCTAGAGTGCGCCACAGATATATAAATTAAAACAGCAAGGGCCAAAAGAAAAAAGGGACTTTATGACATTTGAATGATGTTCTTGTTTTATCTGATAGGCTAAATCTTATCATGTTCATGGCCAAATGTTTCTATAATCTATAAATGTAGATAATCTATAGCAAACCCTTTCTCCCCTACTCTGGTTAGTAAAACACATTGCGCCTGTTTTATAAGCCTACCCCCTGGTTTATTGTCGTGCACTTCTGTTTTCTTAATCTGTGCTAATAAATACATTGTTTTAAATAAAGCTTGTGTCAGGTTTGACTGACAGCGATGATCCTGTTCATACTACTGTCTCTGGTGGAGGGTTTGACCTGTGTTTTAATGCTTATTGCTGGTGTTTTAAAATGCAGTTCAAGAGAAATGTTTTTTAAAAGCTCTACATAATTAGTTCAAACATTTGTCTCTAAACACAGTTGGAAATGTCTGCTAAAAAACACTGCGCACCAACACAGTAGTTATCTATTTACTACAGAGCTCCTGCACATGAGGAGCTCTTTTTTCATCTGAAATTGTAGCACATTATAACACACTTTTTTACTGTTTTTTTAATATGGAACATTATACTTAAAATATGACTGTTCTGCACATTTCTCTACCCATCAAAGACCTTGTAAAGTCAACTTATATGTCACAGTTGTAAATGTCCTTGAGACACAACAATAATGTGGTGGCCTTAAGTTAAGGCATCATTGAAAACATTTTTGCTGTTTTGCAGAACACACTCACAAAAAGAGTACATTTTGTTATACGATAAAATAGATTACATTTTGCAAATGGACATCTCTTGATTTCAGATCACTTATGATACACCTTTGTATAAAGTAAGTCTAAACTAAAATTACAGTTACTAAACAGACATTTGCATTGAGTGAGCACAGGAGAAAAACACCACCACAGGGACATGGGTCAATCCCCAAGAGCAGAGCTTCTGACTTGACTACATCAAACATTGTTGCAGCATTGGTGGATGGGAAACTGGTGCTGGATCCTGTCTTTGTCACATCACTAGAGACTTTCCCTGTTGGTTTGTCCACATGGTCTACAGTGAAATAAAACAATCCAAAGTGATAGAAAAAAGAGGGGAAATACAAAAAGTAGGTAGCGATATTGGGTTTTTCAGTATTACTTTATTCCCCCTTTGATGATAGTCTCCCTGTGGTGCCTAGAAGACCTGGAACAAATATTAATTAGTTGCCTCTCGTGCATATTCTACAAAGTGTACACATTTTTCTTCTTTAAAGATTATGTTTGGGCTTTAATTTCCTTTATTTGATAGGAGAAGCCAAAGAGAGAGAGTAAAGTGGGGGGAGAGAGAGGGATATATGCAGCAGGTTGGAATCAAACCTGGCTGCTGCAGTCAGGACTCAGCCTTTGTACATGGCTTGCATGCTCTACAGGTGAACTACAGAGGAACCCCATGTTTTCCATTTTTTGAAAATATATATTGCACAAAAAGAGGAAACGATATTGTGTTTTAGCATTTTAGTTGTATACACTTCTGCTCTACCTTTAGCTGAGAGTATATGACCTGCAGCCTCGGGCCTTAGGGTTGTAGAAATACTTACTGATCACATGTTTGGGTAGCTCTTAAGCCATAAACCTTGCTCTACAAGATCTCCACGTATTACCAGCCATCCCTTGGGCCTCTCTCTGTGTTTGTATTATGCCTCAGATTCCAGCCTTCGTTCATATTCCTATGTCTGCTTTTATCAGCCATGTGTAGGAAGGCAGTGACTAAAAATAACACACTCCCATAACAGAGGCGTGTGAATGTGTGTGTCTGAGGGCCAGATGGAGATCAGTGTTTTTCAATATCCCACTCCTTTTGTCCATATACGTTTGGTTTTCCTTATCTGGACTCTGTTTATCTAATGAGCCATGACCCTACATATAACTATAAAGGAGATAATCTCGCCTTAAACATGTTGTCTTCACACAGGATATGAGCTATAAGAAGACCCTGCTAAAGGAGTATTCAAAACTTACTTTGCAATAAACTAGTTCAGTCGCTTTTAACATGTTCTATAAAAGCCAGGACGTCTGACACACTTCTCAGTTTGCTGTAGTTTGTTCCTTTTTTGAGTCAAGGTTAGTATCTACAAATATTTGGGTTTTAAATGTCGACCTCACAGCCTAAATCAATCTGAAGCTACAGGAAGAACATTTTTCCTTAATGTAAACATGGCTTTTATTCCCTGCAGCTTCCACTACGTGTAGTATTTGTTTGACTCTGCCTCTCTGCTTCATGTGATCTGGATTATACATGATCCCCCTATAGTAGCTAAGGTCTAACACAAGCATATGGTAACACTTCGCAGTCTTGTCGAAAAAAACAACCAGACAAAAAAGACAAGACTTTTCTTTTCCTACTGCTGCTGCTGCTGCTCCAACCAAGTTTCACAAGATTTGACCTACCGACAGGCAGAGGTTTCCTCTGCTATTTCCATACTATAGATACCAGACTACATTAGTATTTTATCATGGATCCCTTTGGAAATAGCTCAAGACAGGACCATTGGTCAGATGAAACAAGGAATTTGAATAAGCCACATTGGGCTTTAGGGAATTTTTACTATTTTCTAACATAAAGACAAAATGATCAGTTATCAAAAATGAATCAAGATAACAATTGTGGTATCAAGGCACAAAGACATCAGTTTCACTTATCAAAAGGAAATATACATTGTTTTTCATAGTTTTTCCTTGCCCCCGTCGCCAATACTTGCTCATGGTGGTACTGTTGGGTCTCTGTAAATGTTATAAGGTGTTCAGTCTAGACTTGCTCTATTTGAAAAGTGTCCTGAGATAACTTCTGTTATGAATTGGCACTATACAAATAAAATTTTATTGAATTGAACTGAATTAATTATTTTATTTGAAAATATATTTTGTAGATTTTTGTCTGAGAAAATATTTTTCAGTCATAATTTGTCTTCAGTCTCATTCTCATGTGGTCAGTTGTATTGATTCATGTGTGTATCATTACATCCCTAATTATAATTTAAGAAAATAATCTGCAAATTAATCAATAATGAATGTTTCAACCCTAAATGGCCGTGGTCAAAATCTGAAGATGATCCACAGTACTATAACAGTACTACTAATATTATATTAAAGAAAGGGAGGCCCAGAGGAATATTCTTTCAGAAAAAACAGGTCACAATTTCCCTGGTAAAAAGGGCTGCCAACAATATACATGGCCCTTTATATCATCTGTGTAACCCAGTAAAATTATTGATTGTAATCTAATATATGGTGGAAAGAAGTGCATCTACATCCAGGTCAATTAAACTGCTTGCTAGAGAAAAAACTACTGCTCTTGCATTAAAGCAAGCTTGTCCTGGATTACTTCCTTCACAATTTGTTGGAATATACCTAAATTTAATTGGTGGAAAGCTTATCAAAACCACAAATAACTAATTTCAAATATGACAGCACTGTTTTGGTGCCATGATAACTACAAGTAAAGCCCAACCAAAAGTTTAAGTCGAAAGATTTAATTGAAGGATTGTACAGAGCTTATCATTACGTATTAGGATCTGATGACCTGTCTAGTCCATTAGATGGCCCTAGTGGTTTTACTCCTGTATATGTAAATTTTACAAATATAGTAGGCACAAAAACCCCAATAAAACCAATAAATCAACTACTTTTAACCACTAACCACATCTCAAATCAATAAAATAGATGATAAGTTCAGTTGAGGTGAACTGTTTTGAACATCTTAATACAAAGATCACCTTAAATCCATCATAGTCCAATGTCATGCTGTCATGGGAAACACAGCTATGAACTATGTTCTGTAACCTCATCAGGGTCAAAGCTCAGCATGGTGGCTCAGAGTGAAAGAGATATTAGTGAGATTTCCTTTGAAACGTGCCTTGATAATCGCTGTGAATGCTAGTTTTGGAGTTGATACAGGATACCCAACAGAGCAGCTCATGACTTTCACCACCTTTCACTGATACAGTAGATCCACTCTCAGTTAGTCAGTGATTAAAATAAACAGCATCATTTTTTTAGAATACAAGTATCATTTGCATCCTCCTGCCTCCTGCAGCTGGGGATGCTGTGGTTCAGCTTGTTTAGCCCTCAGGTTGTCAGGCAGAGCCTTAACACACTGTTGTTGTTACCTTACCATCAGGACAATTGATGCCCTGTTTGCATGGTGACCTGACAGGGGAATATCTAATCTCCACCCCACCCCCACTCCACCTCCACCTTCCACTGTCAATTTTTGGAGGACACTCCCCTTCGCTTACGAGTCAGTGGTGTGAGATGCAACTCCACCCTTCTGCTGCCAGCTGGCCAATAGGAAGACAGCGACTATTATGTAAATAATGAGGTGAGGAGAGGATATGGATGACAGAGAGCATAGCAGGGGACAGGTGTCATTTGTCACCTGAGCCTCAGGTGTATCTGTCTATTGCCTCATGCACACATATATACACACATATACTCACACATATACTCTAATGAAGAGAAAACGGTCAACAATGGTGCTGCTAGTGATGGAAACATAAAATTTCCACTTAGATGCAATTAGCATGATTATTGGCTGAAATGACCATTTGAACCATATCAACAAAGTCTAACATAATTAAAAGTAAAGTGGATGCACAAAAAGCAGATAACCCTTTGCCCTCCATCAGAAGTGATGCTGTTGGGCGTGGAGCCCTTTACCCTGGAATGTGGGTCCCAGTTCCTGACAGACAACATACCACAGGTGTGTCACTGACGGGCCTGTCCCTGATGTCAAAGCTCTCTCTCTCTCTCTCTCTCTCTCTCTCTCTCTCTCTCTCTCTCTCTCTCTCTCTCTCTCTCAAACACACCTCAATAACAAGTGCACCTAATTAGTGTATCTCAATCCAACTGTGTGTCATGAACATGAAGTTTTTGTCAGCAAAGCACTTTCTGTAAACTAGTTTCCCTGCAGTCATCTCAAGTGATAACTCCTTTTATCTATTTATTCTGTAAATTCTAGTCCATGTGTAATTTTATGTTTTTATTCTCTTTTTTGTCCACGTCCACATATTGACTCGGCTACAACACAGTGTCTAACTAAGTGAGCAGAGAAGCAAAGAGAAACAGTGAGTTAAAAGTAATGGAGGAAAAGTTAACATAGATAGGATCCCTCCCAGCCACCCTAGATGAGGAGTGTACAACATTACTCCAAAAAAATCCCCATGGACTGTGGATCTTAAAGATCCAATTTTCTGTGAAAATATTATTCAATTGTTATATCCCAAGACGTTCCTTTTTTAATACCCAACTCTTGTTTAACGTCATATACTCTCCTAAACTGTTTCAGAATGTCTTCTTTCCACTGATGCAGAGACCTTTGAGACCTTATGGGATTTTGATCTGTGTCAACATTCATATCCTGGATTAAACTATTGTACTCCAGCCCCTAAACTAAGGTCTTGACTAACAATCTATATTTCAGGTCTTTTGATCTGCACCACAGAGCTTGCCAGGGATGCCCTCTGATCCATCTTCTCTTTGTCTTGGCCATCAAACCTCTGGCTGTATAAGATCTAATCACTTCATACCAGACATAATTAGAGGGAACACAGAACACAATGTGTCCCTTTATGCTGATGATATCTTTCTGTATGTGTCATGCACTGAGACTGCAATTTCTTTAATCCTTTATCTGTTGCAACGATTTGGGGAGATTTCAGAATCAGAATCAGAACTACTTTATTTTAGGTAATAAATTAAACCTGCCTATTATAAAAGTGAGCTTTTGCCCCTAAATCTGGACATTTCCACTTTTGAGAATATAAGGTTATCTTTTAAAATAACTACGAACAGCTTCACTTACCTCAAAGTTACAGAAACATAGTTTTACAGACCTCTTTAAGCCAAACTTTGGGAAACCAAATAGGATCTGGCTATTTGGTTCTCATTTTACTGCCAGGCAGAGTTAACACAACTAACATGACTGTGCTTTCAAAGTACTTTTACTTGTTTCAATGTTTGCTTGAATTCATGCCCGGTACTTATTTAAAAAAGTTAGACTCAATGTCATCCACAAACAGCCGCATTTGCTTAAAGACTACCTGCAAGAAAAACATGACGGCGTTACGGCCCTTGATTTTATTACTGGAAAGCCAATTTGCACTGTCTGTCATATGGACACACCACCATTTTGACAAAAATGGTTCTACCTGGGTAAGAATGGAGACACCTCTCTGTAGCTTTGTTTCCTTACCAGCTCTAATTGGCACACCAATGCCTATAGCATTTAACATAACATAATAATCCCTGTAGTCACTCACACAATCAGAATCTTCTCACAATTCAATCAGCTCTACCCACACTCAATGCAGGAGACAGGATTCAACATGTGGCAGGGGGGCAGCCTGAAATGTTCTAACATTTGAACAAAGGCAACATTTTTTGTAGATATTTACAGATTATATTAAGAGTGTTATCCTACAGTTTCCGAATAAATGTTCTAACAAAAGGATTGATAGTATCATGTTTTGTGATCCAACAAAGAAAGGGTGCAATTTTATTTACACTTGGGCTGATCACTGATCACTAGACTTCCCTTCCTTGTCTCGAATTGTTTGAACAATAAATGTGAATTTGGACATATTTAACAATATAAATGTTACTCATTTGGGTCATCAGAGCAGAGCTTTTAAAAAAAAGAAACCAGCTGAGAAAAGTTTGACAACGGTCTTTTGAGGTGAAACATTTGCAACATCATGTCCTCTGGCATTAAAATCCTGTTCCTCTTGTCTCTGGAGCATCTATGCACTCACCCACCAATCCACCAATCATCTACTTCAGTGATTTATTTCCTTTTTCATTATTATTATTATTATTCAACAAACTTTAGTAATGCAAATAGGTTTCCTCATTAAACCATTACACCTTCCCTTTCTATGTCTTGTTGATAAATCACTTCCCAGTTGCTATTGATTCCACTCTCTCAGTGATTACCCCCACTGCACTCTGATGCACTGTGGCAGACAGAGCACTGCTGGGGCTTTTATTTTAGAGAGAGGAACCATTATTTGGCATTAATTATGGAGGAGGTTTATTAGATTAGTGAGAGGATGTTTGTTGCTTGTTTGCTTTTATAGGTGCATCAGGCCATCTTGGACTATTCAAATAGCACCCTTATATAATTTGATAGCTTTTTTAAAATGGCTTATGTTAAATTCTACATTAGAGTTTAATTCCTCATTATTCTATGGGGAAACATGATGAAATGTTAGGCAGAGATTCCAGTCAGGGATTTTGAGATTTAAAGGAAACTGTTTATGACATCTTTTCCAAACTCAAAGCCAAGTCAGTTTTAGTGTCTTAATAGGACAATATTTCCCTGTTGATCTGCAGAAAGAAGAGCTTGGTCATTCTGAGTGCTTTGCTTTTGTAATTGAAACAAATAACCGCCTCTGACTCTTGTGATGAATGGAGGAGAATAGGGAGTTTATTCATTTAAAAGTCCCTGTGGATATCATTAAACTCTCTGTGCCTTTCTGTTGAAACTAAATAACAGGTGATACCAGTAGATCATTCAAATGAGAGGGAACACATTTGTTTATGTTGACTTACGCACAAGAACATACAATTCCCCATCATGTGATAACAAATCTGTTCTTTAGACAAAGGCAGAGAAGAAGGTCAAGGGTCTGATGGTGAGTAGTTTAAGCACTCATCCACTCTGTGTACATGTTAGTATTGTGTTGTAGATAGAGCGCAGAGGCAATGTTTCCAGGCAACCAAAACAGGTTTCATGGACATCCATTGTACCAAGTCTTAGAATAATAAGCTTTGTTAGAAGGAGGAGAGCTTTGTAAAACATTTAGTGCTGACATCAGTTTATATGTCATGTTCTAATATAATCTAAACCTCAGGCTTGGATTGGATTAGTTCTTTCTGATGATACAGCTTTTCACAGTTTTAAAACTGACCCTCATTAAAGTGAAAAACAGGTTAAGAAATTTTCTTTTATTTATAAAAGACCAACACAACCAAAAATGAACAAAGAAATTTGCATTAACAAGCAGGCTGCCGTGCAATCAATCCTTGACCATACATACATGTTGCTGTGACGGAGTACATCTTGCTTTGCACACTATAGTATGTGCCGTAATCTCACAGAGAAAACAAAATGTCACAATAACAGAAAGGCAGAGGCAAAATAAATTATGTGATTCATCACTGAAAAAGACACAAACAATGGTGGAAGGAACAGAAAGCATCTTCATTATTTCTCTGTAACATGTAGCACACTGTTTTACATGTCAAGCACTACCCTGCAGCAGTGTCTCATACAGGAAGTCGCACACACAAAACTGAACAGGTGTCCAAAGGTTTGATGGAATATAAATTAAACAACAGCTGTGCAATGTAAAGGTTAGACTGGCTTTGCTTACAGTATTACAGCCAGATGACAATCAAAAACCTTCACTTATATACTTCCATAAATAAATAAAAGAATCTCTTATATATTTACAATATTTCTTGATTAAAATTTACAAAAGTAAAAAGGCAACACCAGAGTCAACTTAAAGAGTGTTTTACAAAATATTTACACAAACTATTTACATTGTTATAAATTATAACCACAATCACTTTTTCCTTAACAATCTTCATTTAAATGTTTCTTCATTTTGGTTGACTTCAGAAAACTCAGCAGCTTTTCCATTTACAATGTAAACCATCTGTGACTGCTCACACTCAGATAACCTCCACAAAGTGGAAAATATATAACATAAAAGTACAGATTTAAATGTGACAGACTATTATAGATGACGGTAAAGGAAAATGGCTCTGATATGGAAGCCAACACAATGTGAAACTCCTGTGCCCAGGAGAAGAGAAGGCCACAGTATAATCACAAAGGTCATCGCTGCCTGGGGCTAAAGGTCTGTGGCATTAACTACCACAGGAACTGCTTTGGAGGGGGTGTAGTCAGTAAGGCGTTTATATACATCCAAAACATTTTACTAGAGTGTGGATAGAAGGCACACACAAGTCTTAAGACAGTATAGATCAGGTTTTTCAAGTAAAACTTGCAGGACTTGTGTTATTCTATATCACACTGGGTCGATGTGTTGGTGGCAAAGTAAGCACGCAATCTGAATCATGTTAAACAACAGAATGCTTAGAAAGATAATTTCCAGATAGCTTCAAAAGAGTCAAGGCTCTGGGATTAAGAACATCATCTAATGAAACTGTGTATTAGTCCTTCATTTTGAAACTATTTTGTGGTCTAACTAAATGGCTTCTTGCAGTTATGCTCTATTTTGTCGTACTAGACTTTTAAAGATCTTTTTTTTTTCTTTTTTCTTTTAGTTCTTTCTTCAGTTTTGGACGGCACAGTGCTGAGGTCAGAAACTTAAGCCACAAAATAAGATCACCGGGAGAAGGGAAGGGGCTGAAGCAGCATCAGTAGAAATAAATGGCCTTTCTTACTTAATATTTGCATCCAAAAACAGAAAAAAAAACACTTCAAATAAAGCTAGTGTCTTCATCTTTGGGTCATGCAACATCCACGTCGTCCATGCTCAGCATTTGCCTCTGTGAAAAAAAACAAAAAACTCTCAATAAGCAAAATACACACTCACAGTCCATTTTTATGGACTGTTTAATTAAATATAAAATGACTTGGTATCAAAGTGAAGATACCTGAGGATAAACGTAGCCATCAGAGCTGTTTCTGAAGATGTGGAGCTCATCCTCTGTGGTTTTCTGGTACACGGGATTGTCAAAGTGGATGGTGTTGGTGTTCTTCAGACGCCAGTGTCTCCATAGCAACGCTGCTCCAAAGACCAGCAGGGCCAAGAGCACTGCGGGGCAAAAGACAAGTTGAATTAAGAGCAGATTTAATCAGCTTAAACAGCCCTTTAGGTTGCATGTGTGAGTGAGTAGGGCAGGCTGTGTGGCTGAGTATTTGACCAATAAAGAAATGTGGAACTTACTTATTGGCAAAACGATGTAGAGAGCCATAGGGTGGGTTGAAGGGGCTTCTTTTGGCATGGCTGCCAATCTGTTACCTAAAAAAACAGAGAGTATGTTTTAATTATATAATTTCTTACAATTAGATGAGAAGATCAATACCACTCTTGTCTGTATGATAAATACTGTATGAGCTACAGCCGGAAGACAGTTAGTTTAGCTTAGCAACCAGTGTGCGCCTGTGGGTGGATTTTGTTACCTAGTTATCCTGTTTCCAGTGTTCATCCTAAAGTAAGCTAACTGGCTGTTGACTAGAGCTTAATATTTATAGGCATTAGAGTGGCATCTTCTCATATAACTCAGCAAGAAAGTGAATAGGCATACTTTTTAAAAAGTTAAAACATTCTTTTGAGAGGCCTATCATTTATCATGTAAGAGATAATAGTGAAAATTTAATTTAAAGTATTTCACTGATCATTTATCATGTAAGAGATAATAGTGAAAATTTAATTTAAAGTATTTCACTGATCGTTTCACTGGTCACAGAAAGTAAAAGAATACCAATTGTCCAGGAAATGTTTAAAATTGTAAGTCAGGAGACCAGAAACATAGTTTGAGTTTAACCACAAAGTGAAATCGTTCTGCAAGGTATATTAAACTGCAGGTAACCATAGCAACAATGCTTATCCCTCATAGTACATCATGGGTTAGCTGGCTACAAACAATCTTTAAATAAGACGAGTTTACAGCCAGCTGCTAGCTGCACTCACGCACAGCTGGTGAGTCTGGCCAAGTGCTCACATCAGCACTGCTAATATACTGATGTTTTGTAGGTATAATTTACACCATGTTCACCATCTTAATTAGCATGCCAATATTTGCTAATTAGCAACAAACACAATGAACAGCTGTGTCAGAGGCAAATATTTTTACTCTGTTGCAGGTATTTATCAGTAGTTATCCAGAACGACTTCCTGTACCTTGAGCAGTGGCGGCAGGCCGCTGGGTGCTCTGAGTGGGCTGGCTGGATGAGATGGTTGTGGGTCTTTTGGCTCCATTTTTAGCTCTGGTGGTAGTTGGAGCTGTAGGAGCAGTTGTTGTAGTAGTAGGGACAGACTTGCTGGACGTAGTAGGTTTGGTGGAAGCTTTGGACGGGATCGGTGCACCAGTTTTGTTTTCGGCAGGAGGGGCAACTGAGGCTGTTGCGAAAGTAAATGTAAGTTATTTATTGTCATGATTTAATGTTAAATTTCAGTTTATTTGTAGTGCGACCTGCAGGGGCCACCTACCTGCCACACATTTCCTCATGTCAGATCCCATGGTCATGTTGTCAGGACAGGCGCAGGTGAATTTAGGAGAGCGTTGGTTGATCCAAGGGGCAGGGAGGCACAGAAACTCACAACCTCCATTCATACTGTTATTCTCTCTGCACCAGTTCGTACCTACAAGACAGAAAGGTGGGTACAAGAAGCATCAGTAATTATCATATGGGCTTAACAGTTTGTTGTTTGTTATGATAGACCAGTTTGAGTGATTTTTCTGTACCGATTGGCTGCTTGAGGTTGTGGTACAGTACGATGTCGTCTGGCTGGTCCAGGTCCATCGCCAGCTTGGTGATATTTTCTCCTGTTAGGCGGCTGGCACTAAAAACAGCATTGTTGGCCGTGTCTGTCCAAAACACTTTCTCCTAAAAAAAAAAAAAAAAGGAAAAGAGAAATGCTACTTGAGTAACATGAATTCATTATTTGTTGATGTTTCCTCAAACACAAATTGATTAATTACAAATACTAATTAAGAATTTATTGGGAATTAAGTGCACACCTAGCTCTGACTTTATACTATTACTACTACTACCCTAAATAATTTAAGCCTTATAACGCTCATCATACATGAACTGGCTTGAAATACAGTAGTTAAGTACATTTCAATTGATTTCATTACATTTCATTGAGGAAGGTGTACATTTTATTTTAAATTAAGGATTATATTTATATGACATTTATGAAAGACACCCAAGACATGACCATCAATGACTTAATCTTCTGGGGGATCTGGATAATCATTGATTTCATCACTAACCTCAAACACAGTCAGAGAGAGGGGGTGGGTGAGCTTTTCCTCACTGAAAATGAGAATGTGTCTTGTCCCTCCGTTCACATCAATGCTGGACAGAGTGTGCAGCTTGGAGTCCACCCAGTACAGACGCTGGTTAACCATGTCTGTCCAGAGAGACACACAAAGACAGAAATAAAAGACTGGTCATTATACAGTTTGAATGATTATTGGTTATTGGCTGCCATTCAGCGCCATGGCGTTTTTCTTACCAAGGGTGATGCCATTGGGCCACATGATGTTATCTGTCACCAATGCAACACGACCTGCTCCATTCAAACCACTCTTCTCTATCTTGGCCTCCTCACCCCAGTCTGTCCAGTACATAAAGCTAAAGAGAACACAGAAAAACAAAATGCTCCACTTTATCGCAAACTTAAAAATACATTTCAGCAATTTTTGTACGAGTCTGTCCCACATCTGCAACCTGTCTGAAAAGTTTACTTACTTATTTACGGCGTCGACCACGATGGCTCTCGGCTTGTCCAGGTTTTCTGAGATCAGGGTCTTCCTCTTGCCGCCGTCTGTCGTTGCCACAGAGATAGTCTTTAACATGCTGTCAGTCCAGTAGATGTTGCCATGGATCCAATCCACCGCGATGCCCTCTGGGGCACCAATCTCACTGCCGATCACCACAGTGTGGTGAGAAGCGTTACCGGCCACATCTATCTTTGAGCTGTCAGGAGGCAGATGAAGGTGGAGAGCTTTACTTAAAGGACAGATATCGCTTTATCTGCAATCTTTATTTATCTAGTCCTGTATCTAGTCAATTGCTGTACAGAGTTGTAGATACAGGCTTTCTGGTGCAGCACAAGCCTAAAGGTAAGATCTCACTGAAAGCAGAAGTCTTTGACCTAGATCGATAAAGTCTCTTTCTAACCTGTAGATCTTCTTTTGAAACAGGTCAGACCAGAAGATCATCTGGTTAGGCATGTCTATGTCCAGAGCCACCGCGTTCTTCAGCTGGGGGATCAGACTGACGTACTCCCTGCGGTCCACTGTCATCTTCCTCACCTCGTGTCTATTGGTGAAGTAGAGAGTGGGCACAGTGCCTGGAAGATGCAGAAGAAAAGAAGGAAACATTTTTCAGATAGGTCTACAAATCTACAGGTCATGCACTCTGTCAACTGTCAGATGCGACTCTTAAGAGTATAGAGTAAGGACCGGCTTTCTTAAAAACGTTACCTGACTCAGCCTTGCATGTCTTGCTCACAGGGTCGATCATGTAGCCCTTCTCACAATCACACTTGTAGCTGCCGGGCAGGTTGATGCAGATCTGACTGCAAATGTCCGGATCAGCACATTCATTGATGTCTGCAGGTTGAGGAACAGGCAAATTGAGAGATAGCAGTTGGCAAATTGGGAACTTTTTCTTACAAAGTTGAGCGTCTAAAACACTGCTTTCTTAAAATACATGTCCATGACCCAAAGCTGGTCACGGCCTACTTCTAAAATAGACTGAGACCAAATCCAAATGTCAGACTAACTCACCTTCACAGGTTTTCTTGTCCATCTTCAGGCTGTATCCAGGAGGGCAGGAGCAGTTGTAGCCAAGCTTCAGATCGTTGCAGTAATGGGAGCAGCCGCCATTTCTGGTCAAACACTCATTTTTGTCTGTGGAGACACAGACACACAGATCTACTCAAAAAGTATTCATAGAAAACCATTTTCCTAATGGTAGCTCAAATCGACGGTGAACTCATTCTTTCAAACCACTAACTATCCAGACCAGTCAGCCGAGGCTGCTTGGCTAGCTGCTCCAATTATATTTTCCGGGCTGTGATGTGGTTTAATTTTTTTCTCTTTTTTCGAGCAGCGATGCTGATGAGTGTATTCCAAAACTCTGATACATGCCCTAGCCTGAGGATTTTTCGGTTGTTTGGGGTGAGAGTAAAATAAGACTTCACTCACCACACTCTGTGACAGGCTCATCGGACAGGTCCATGCAGTCTCTCAGTTTGTTGCACACTTTCTCCATGCTGATACACTCCCCACTGCGACACTTGAACTTGGTAGGGCCTTCACATACATTTTCTGTAGAGACGAACAGGGCAGGATGAATTCAGCTGTAATCTAATGGTACAAGACTGCAAGAAACATTATCATCTGTATACAGTGGAGTTTGTGGGTGAAACAAGATTGGATGTGAGAGTTACCTATGTGGCAGCCAATCTCATCACTGAGGTCCCTGCAGTCGTTCTTTTTGTTACACTGGAGGCTGCCATGGATACAGGTGCCGTCATTACACTGGAACTCATCTGGACGACAAGACGGACGACCTGGTAAAAGAAGACAAATTGATTGAGAAAGTGAGGGGCTGAAAGAAATGGGAAGAAGAATGAGATGACATGGGCCGAGGAGAAAATCATTGCTGACATGATTTGTTGTGGATCTTGTGTCAATATTGATGAGTGTGTGCAGGCGACCCTGGATAGCAACAGGATATTATGTATGTTAAAGCATGAACAGGCTACATCTGTGGGGCTCAGTGTTTTATTAAAGTAAACTCAATAAGAGTCAGAGAAAACTTATCAGAGAAAAATAGGTTTGCAGAAGAAGAGATGGATGGAATGAAAAAAGCTATGAACAAATAACGAAGAAAGCCAACTTACTGCAGTTGACCTCGTCCGATTTATCGCTGCAGTCAAAGTCTCTGTCACACCTCCAGTTGCTGTGGATGCACTCCCCGTTTGCACACTGGAACTCGTGCACGCTGCAGCTCACCGCTGTCTTGTTCAACTGTCGTCCCGCACAGTGCTCCGGCCACTCGTCAGACCCGTCAGCACAGTCCTTGTCTCCATCACAGCGCCACAGGGCTGGCACACACACTGAGTTGTTGCACTGGAAGGAAAGAGGGCTGCAGGTGGGTTTGGGGCACGAAGCCTCATCTGAGCCGTCTGAACAGTCGTTGTCGTTGTCGCAAACAAAGGAGTTGGATATACACTGGCCATTGGCACATTGAAACTCGTCAGCGTTGCATTGTTTGGCCGCTGTGGAGAAGAAGGAGAGGAGTTAATGTGATGTTAAGGCTACAGGTGGATTACGGAGTTTTTTATTGTTATAAAAGCCTCATATTTGCTTCTAAATACCTCATTTACAAATATAATCTGGACATATTGCTACTGCTGCCACAAGTGATTTAACTGTATTTAATTCTGCAAACACTCCTCTCTCCAGACACAAGCAAGTTTTGTAACAAATTATTTATTTACCCACTTTATTTGTAATAATTTGTCTAAATAGACTTTGTAGTTACTATGTATATACAGCATATGAATATCCAAATTGTATGGTAAATGCTCATTAGCTACATGATATTCTACCTTTTTAAAGGTTTCTTATCTACACTATGCATGTATTTAATGTGTTTTTATTGCTTGTGATGTTTAAATGTGAAATAGTTCTATATATAACTTACTGCAGTTTTTCTCGTCAGCCCCGTTTTTACAGTCAGCTTTGCCATCACAGTGCCAGCCTCCTGGTATACACTGGTTCAAGGGAAGGCCGCAGTTGTACTGTGACGGCAGACAGGTTTTGTTTGCTGAGGAAAGAAACAGGAAGTATGACTCAAATGATTTCATGTATTAACAAAGAGATAAGGCCTGCGACTACAGTTACAGTATGTACAATAATTTACTTGTGGAAACTACAGTTGTGCAATGGCTCCATGGATGTTTCTGATTCACTGTTGTTAGGTTATCAGGTCAAACATTCAGATATGTTTCCTTCATATCTTGTATTAATATTATTTAAGTCAATATTTATGTACTTTTATTTGTAGACAAGTAACGATTAGTTGATTCATATATTAGTAAATTGATTTTCAAAATATTAAATGACTTACTTAAGTAACTTCTAATAGTTGATTAATCGTTTACTTAATTTTTAAAGTAAAGTTTCCCAATATTTTCTGGTTACAGCTTCTCAAATATGCAGATATGGTCTTTTTCTTTGTCTGATCAATTATAATAGGCATTCACTACATCACTACTTTTTTATAGTAATACTTTTATAGACAAAACAATTAATTGTGAAAATCATTGGAAGATGAATTAACAGTGAGAATAATCCCTAGTCGCAGTCTTCTTCGCGTGCATTTCATTTTTACTTTATTTTCAAGGTAGACAAAAGGTCCACAGAGATTAAAAGGACATACCGCAGCTGGCAGGCAGCTCATCAGTGCCATCACCACAATCATCAGTCTCATCGCAAATCCATTTGCTGGTGATGCATCTTCCATTTCCACACTCAAACTGGGTGGAGGTGCATTTGAAGGCTGCATCTGTGAATGATAAAAATAGCAGTTTAGTGTGACATGAGGACCTTATCAGAATTTACACTTCTTCTTACTTTTACTACTCTTACTCTTACTTCTTCTGGTGAGCCCCATGTAGTAACGAGAGCTTATGTCAACACAAAAAACTGATTTTGTGGGGTTAATATTTAACATTACACAAAAATGTTCAGATAACTGACGTGTGAAAACCACACCTTTTACTCTTTGCTTAACTCAGAGGTGATTACCAAATTAAGATTACAACACTGTGTGGTTCCCTTGTTAGAACAAGATATGAAGTAATAATACTATTAGTAGTATTTGGACAGAAGTGAATCTTTATTTTCGGGAACACAAAATTAAAAGTCCAATCTTTCTTTACTCCACCATGAAACACACACATACACAGTCTTACACACTAACACTTCTCTCTTTATTTCACTTGAACTTGAACATTAAAGTCCATATTTTAAGATTTCAAAAAGAGAAGAAGAGAAAATAAAAAATGTTCTAAAATATTTATCAGTTATACAAAGTGTATAAATGTGATGTTGCAGCTTTAGTAGGAACCTCCACTCCTAAATCCTTCATTATGTGCTCTTATTATTATCCTATCTGCAACTTTTCTTTGTAGGGCTCAGGAGTAGCAACCCTTAATATGACTGAAATGAAAAGAAAGCAGGTTTAACCCAACCACACAACTCTGTTGCTGCATTGTCACATTTTAGCTGTGGAACTGGACACATGCGCCTCTTTTTGTCAAGTAAGTGGCAACGGTTTCACTACTCAGCTTGAGGTTTTGAAAGTTGACCCCGGGTTTATTTTGGGCTCAGAGGTCTCAACACTGAGACAACCACACCTCAATGAACCTGCCACTCAAAGCAAACGAGGACATCAACATCGAGGGAGATGTGAACTCAACACAGGCCATTCATGCTCCTTAGTAGTAGTAGTGTGTGTGTCATCCTCCATCACCTACCGTCCTGTCAGTCCTTCCTGTGACCTGGAGGCTGGGGACATGACAGACTATCCCTTTAAGACAATAGATATGGGAGGAGTTGAACAATCACACCACCAGTTGCTGATTGGCCCCAGAGTGCCATTCCTCATCACAACAGTGACCCAGAGGCCGAGGCGGAGACTCTAAACACAAGGAAGTCTCTCAATATGAGTGTGTGGATGAGTGATGATAGCTACGGAAGGGACATTACGAAAAAATGCAGTAACAGTGAGAAGTTGACCATAATCCCATCTTTCGTTATTGTTGAGAACATTAAGTCAATTCAGGGTTTCACTGATGATGAAACCCTGACTTAAAAACTTTGGCTGATCTTGAGAATCTCCTCCTGTGTATCCCCTACTCTCATGCTTTCAGGGAAACGACGAACACACGCAGCGTGGGAGGCCAGGCGTGCAGCCAGCGCCGATTCCAGGAATAGACTTTCCAGAACATATTCCAGCTGTTCCTAAAGATATGCGGTGACGGCAATGAAATTTAAGATGGAGAGTTTCTCTGCAACTCTCACTAACTTCCATTTTTGAGAAATTGTTCCTTCATTCCAGTTGTAGGAGAAGATGCAAAAGTAGGTCAAACGGTGGCACTTCCTGACCTCGCAATGTTCAGTGTTTTCACTTTCCACTGCTAATCCTCCCTGCTGCTTCCATATATGGACCAGGAGCCACCCAAGAATACTGTTCAGCAAGAGGAGGTTTCCTTTCATTCTTTACAGCGAGTATTTGCCGTGGTGAGAAGTTCAAATTTAGTAAAAAAAACCACCACTATACCACAATTTCCTCTTAATTTCAACAGCGGAAAAAGCTACGTGCTGCAGACATTTACACCTAGAGACAGAGAGCCAAAAACAAGCCTGCAAACCTAATAAAAAGATAAGCAGGCCTGTTTGAACAGTACCTGAAGAAGAGAAACTGCATCGTCCACATGCTATATATATACCCACAGTGTGAACCTGACATCTACCAAGTAAAGACATAGGAGTAACTGCCTCAAACACACACTGCCACTATTCACTTCAAAATAATTTAAAAAAAAAGATTCTGACAGCAGAAACCGGCAGAATGAATGGCAGATAGTCTCGAGATGTCAGACAAGTCGTCAACACAATGCTGCATGACAATAATCCTCCTTTGTGTCTACATGTGACTTTGTCCACTAACAATGCATTCCTGTCTTTTATATCACATGCATTCAGTACACACACTCATCAAAAACCTTCACAAAGAGGCGTGTTTATTGACTCAAACATACACACAGCAGTTAATAAATAACCAGGATGCATGTGCATCACGAGGACCAACAGCAGTTCACTTATGCTTTGGATCTGGGCTTGTACTGGTTCACTAATCTACTGAAGTTGTATTTTATTAAGACGAGTTTACTGAGGCCACTGGGTAATAGATTTTATATATATATGTATATATATATATATATATATATATATATTATTTAGTATTTATACTGCTGTACGGTAATGTGGCCAAATTCATTTTCTGAACATTTTAGTTATACTTCAGTGCAAGACTGCAATGAGGTTAGCATCTGATAATGATGTTAGCATCTGCAGACGAATCAAACTGCTGCACTTCCTCTGTAGATTTCACTTGATGCCAGTTTCTTAACCGCTGCAGGTGTATGTTGACTGTGTAGAGTTTCAATGCAATGTGAATAACACCAGCCCTCTAACTGCACAGCTTGCTACAGAGGCAGTGATGGAAAGTAACAATGTACATTTACTCCAATATTGTACTTAAGTACAATTTTGAGATACTTGTACTTTACTTGAGTATTTCCATTTAATGTTGCTTTCTACTTTTATTCCATTACATTTAGCTGACAGCTTTACTTTCTAGTTACTTTACAAATTTTACATGTAAAACAGTATGATGATTTTAAATTTAGAATTTGTTTCTTTGACTGTAAAAATGGGCCTGAATTGGACAGCTCCTGATATTTTTTTGTACATTACAAAACAGGTAATGTACCAAGATCATACACAATTAATCTTTAATCTTAAAAAACAAACTATTTTAATATAATTCAAATGATCTCTACGTCAGCCAACTACACATTCATGCATAAGTAAATACCATCTGATAAGATCACTCACAGGGATGAGTTACCTGTCAATACAGACTTTTGTACTTTTATTTTGGTAGGATTTTGAATTCAGAACTTTTTCTTGAAAGCATCTGAATATTTCTGCCACCGTTGCAGAGAAGTGTTTTAAAATGACTGATAGCTGAAACTGTGATGTCTTTATGAGTCACTGCCGTCTAAAGGTTTAGCCTCACATGAAGAAAAAATACCGGTGTCTTCTCTTTTACTCCTCTTTACTTCAGTGCACAGCTATGCCTCATTTCAGGAATATGTTAAACACAGAGTGAATACATTAAATACACCAGAGCCAGACCTCTAAACAAAGAGAAAGAAATCACACACACAGACACCAGCAGATCTGATGACTGGAAGTGAGCACCAAGAACTGGAAAAAATAACTGAGTTTTAATCTGAAAAGCTCTTGTAGAAGAGTTGAGATTATTGGGGGATTACTGGGGCAGCTGGCAGAAAGCAGCTGAAGCCAAACTCTCAGTACATTGTTGGCCTGTTGAACAGAAGGTTCACTCCTTCACCAATCGACTTTTATGAAAATATATGACACATTGTCAAAATGATCCTTCACCTTTGGTTCCAGAAACTGAATCGTGATGACATAAGACTAAAATTAAACAGGATTTTTAATATTTTAGGGTTCATTTAATCAAGAACTTTCAATTTAATATCTGATACAGTAGTTAGTGCCCGTCAGGGAAGTATGAATACTTTATATGCATAAATCACCACTTCTTAATTTTGGGTTATAGCCTATAATTTACTGTATTCATCTCAGAGGAGCAAAAACAGTTCACATCTTTAAAAAGCATAATATTTCTCTTTGATTTGACTTGTATGGTGTATTTTCTCTCTCCAAAAGGGTTGTATACTTAATTCTGCTTCTCTTTTTTTTTTTTACTGTCGTCTCTGTGTCTTTATCTCCCTTTTTCCTCTTTACTTCTTCCAGATGCATCTCATTTCATCCAGCGTGCAGCAGAGAGGAGGATGTTTAAACCGCACCCAATTCCTCATTGACAACCGCCTGTTTCTGCGTTGGTCCCGCCCACCCGAAACTTGAAACCGGCGGCACGGACGGACGTGATTGGCTGTTCGTTCGCATTCTGGAGCAAAACGAACCAATCAAAGCGCGGTGCGTGAATTCCATTCATATATGCCGAAACTGTGTTATCACATATATTATTTTGTTATCCATTAGTTATTGTAGTGATTGAATTCACAGGAGAATTTAAAGTAAAATTCAGAATGTTTCTCACGATTCACCGGTCATGTTAACTGCAAGAGCTCAGGGAAACATTTAAATGTGTAATATATAAACAGCACAAAAAATGTGATGCATACATATTGATACATGGTAACACTGGGGCATCCCTCTGTGTGGTAAGAAAGGTACTTTTGAAAGGTTTTAGCGCACGGGTAGAAGAAGGGAAAGGCCAGGATATCACATATTCTTACCTGCTTGAGGCGAGAAATGAATCAGCATCAGAAGCCACCAACATGCGGACAGTTCGGCGAGTCCCCTCCACGTCCAAAACATGTCCTGTCCTCCTTAGCCTTATTTCTAAAGAGAAGTCAGCTATGAGCTATGAGCGCGGGTAAGGAGGGAGCAGACGAGTTCACTGCAGGACCTGTGCGTAAAATGCTCTGGTTCAGACGGAGAGGGCAAACAGTTGAGTCACTCCGCGGCCGTGCGTAAAAGGAGAGTGCCAGCAAAATATTATGAGGTCCGACTTACATCTGACGTTTTCTATGAGAGGCTGACAGGAGGGCGGGGCTAGACCAGTGGTGTGATGTTTAAAAGTGGACGTGAGCACTCTATGGGAGGAGCCACATTGTTGCTGTATCACTGTGTGTGTGTGTGTGTGTGTGTGTGTGGCGCGCGCGTCGTCCTTCCATCACCCCCTCCATCCACCCAGCTCTTCCTCCCAAACCGGTGTGTGTTCCTGTGTGTGTGTGTGTGTGTGTGTGTGTGTGTGTGTGTGTGTGTGTGTGTGTGTGTGTGTGTGTGTGGAGAGAGAGAGAGAGAGAGAGAGAGAGAGAGAGAGAGAGAGAGAGAGAGAGAGAGAGAGAGAGAGAGAGAGAGAGAGAATGAATGAAAGGAAGCGGAAAAGACGGACTGAACTCGTCATTATTTTACATTAGAAAAGGCAAAAGAAGAAAACTCTTTGTCTATATGGGGCCATGTGTGAGCACGTGCTCCCCATGTGTGAGCCCCTTTGTCACTGCAGGGGTTCGTGGATAAACTACAGGCTAATTTGTTTCTCATAAAGATGAAGAGGAGGCACTTCTGTTCCAACTGTCAGACTCTCTCCCCATATAATTTCTTTCAGTTTTGTTTTTAAACCTTCTGGGTGGAGAGATTGGGTACTTTTGGTTAAAAGAATCAACGTGCAAATGTTACTGCATGTATGCAGTGTATGAATACTACATAGCTCCTAATCATTGCATCTGTTCCTTCTCAAATATCATAATATAGGCAAGAAAGTGCTCTACATTACTGTCTTCTTGTCCCTCTGATTTATGTCACACCGAAAATACAATATAGAATACAGTTTATAAATCGTTCATCTGATTCCTTCCTAACTTTCCCATGAGTGCATGCATGAGTTCAGATTGGATCATCATCATCACTGGGATGTTATGTCTTCACAGATTGGACCTGTGTGTGTGTGTGTGTGTGTGTGTGTGTGTAGAGGGGGAAGGGGAGGACCTTGCCTGCTAGAAGTCATTAATAAGCTGTGGGAGGTATTCCTGGAATGTCGAAATAGTGGTTGGATTACATATTCTGCTAACACACACACACACACACACACACACACACACACACACACACACACACACACACACACACACACAGAGGCACGCTCACAGTGTTGTGTGCATGTATGTCTACGCAAAGTAAAAATGTCTATTTGTACCTACCGCACACACTTTAAAAATCTAATCCATAGACATCCAAAGAAGGCAGGAACAAGTGAGTCATATGTGACTCACTCAGATCTTCTCCTCTGTACTGCCTCTTAAACTTGAGCTCACTTTTATTTACATTGTGTTATTGATAAGAAAAAAAAACCCATGAGAATAATTTACCTTTACGTAAAAGTGTAACTTAAACATCAAAGTGTAAATTTGAGATAAAGGATACATCAGTGGAAAAAAATTTCCTCAATCTGAGACTCAGGCAACAGGCAGCAGTAACTTTTCATAGTAGTAGAAGTGTTACTTAAAAGTGTCCCAATAAGTCAGAGAGTGAGCCAGCATGATAAATAGCAGCACCCTGAAACTGAAGCAGCTAAATGGAATTCAGCCATCATTCATCTTATTATTTACACCTGTGCTTTTCCTACTGTGACCAGTAGCCTGTTAATCACACTGAGTAGAATTTAGTTTCACCTTATTCCTATTCATTATTATTACACTTTCAGCAGCTAAATGGGAAGGTGAGCAGAAATGTGTAGGTCTGAACCAGGTTAACTGACAACACAAATCTTTCTCCCTGTAAATTCACCCAGTTATAAAGGCAGGCCTTCATCTTGAGTTTCTTATCATACACTTGATAACAAGTCTAACTTGGTGAGACATACACAGAGTAAATGCAGTGTACACTACTTTATCTAATGTTTTCTGCCCATCACCGTATGTGCTCTGCCGTGTGTAAGTCATGTCCAGTGTCTCAGGCCAATAGATTTGATAAGTCTAGTAGACACACACACATTTTATGGCAGTGTGTGTTTATTGCTGTGTAGTTTTCACACCTAAAAGGTCAACATTTTACGTATACAGCTAAACATTTATATTTCAAAGGCTGTGCATCACGGGTTAACAATTCATTTGAAAAGCATATAAAATTGTTGTCAAAAAGTTCCTCTCTGCTGCCTACAAATACAATGTAAGTGGAACTTCCTTCTAATTTATGAGCTGTATTCTGTAGATTTATTGTTAATCTAGAAAAGGGAACATGAATATCACTCCTCATCAGAGTGGAGCTTTTCAGAAAAACTGAAAATGAACACAATCACACCATATATAAAGAGTGGACAACTATTCTTATCAGCGAGGCTTATGTGAATATGTGACATGTATTCTGAATACACTCTTTGTGGTAGATATCAAACTTACGCAGGACCTCTTTTTACAATTCCTGAGGAGGTTTAGTAAAAGTCTGCCGTTGCTGCCTTTGTGCTATGTTGGTGACCTCAGGAGCTGCTGCCCCCCCCCGCCCTTCACCCCCCCCGCCCTTCACCCCCCCCCCCCTCCCCCCTCCCTCCCTCCCAGACAGATGTTAACAGCTGGTTTTGAGTTTCTGATGCAGGGTTTCCTTGAAACCAGGAAACCAAGACCATCCCCCTCCTCTTCTCTATAAGAAGCAAACACTTCTACCTCCAACACAGACCTCACTGTCGAGGTTCTGCTTCTCCAAAACGAACACTGTACATTTAAGATATTTCTCTCCCAGCCAGCAATCCCACTTACAAAACAAACATAAATATGAGGGGTAAAGCAAGGTTGTTTATATCATCTGGATAAAGAGTTTCTATATTCATTTATTCATATGACCCTACTAAGAAGTGAGTGGAGGGGGATGTTGATTTGATTTTTCATATGTTGGAGGCATTGGGCAGGCGGCAGTAAGGTCAAGTTGGGCCAAAGCAAAACAATAAATATCATAAATAAATGCGTTGCAGAGTTTAATTCAGGGGCATTTTGAGGAAAACTGTTTTAAATATATGAGGTTTAAAAAGGTTGAACTGCTACATGAGTCAGCAGTGTAATGACCTGTGTTTGTATGAGACTTCCTCCTTGTGGTGAGACAGTTGCACTACATCTTAGAGATTTAATGATGGAAGTTTGAGCTGTCAGGAGGCCCAAAATTTAAAGACCAGTCCACTAAAAGGCTTTTACTGTCCCCTAAAGATTAAAAGCAAATCTGATGAGAATAAAGTGAATGCAACTGCAGCAATGCTATTAGTAGACAGAGGATTTAGATGACCTTTGACCTGAACTGACCTCCAGCTACTGGGAATGTAACTAGGGATGCACCGATACCAAATACAAGTACTTAGATTTGCGTACTTGCCGTTATCGAGTACCATCACAGTTTAAACAATGACTTTCAAAGCATGTTTGATTTTCATCAGATGTTAACAAATTAAATGCTGCTAATGTTGTTTAAAATATCTCCAAACTGCAGACATTGCTTCTCCTCCGCCTAACTGCTCAGATAGCGAAAGGTTACGCAACATCATGCTGCTGTAAAGTGGTATCAGAGTAGTTTTATGATTACGCGTACATGAGCACAGTATCAGAGCTGATACTTGACACTGGTATAGACATCCCTGAATATAACAAATATATCCAAATTCACCTGGAGTAATAAAATGTATCATGAGGGCGATATACATTACTGACAACTCTGTGGATTATTTCTTGATTGTATAAAATATCAGAAACTTGCTTGTTTTGAGTCTGAAACAGATATCCTGTTTACTATCATATAAGACAAAGAAAAGCAGTATTTTCTCAACCAGCAAATGTTTTACTTGAAAAAAAGAGTGACTCAAACCACTTATCAGATATCAAAAGTTAATAATTGTTTAATTTCCCTTCAACTGACTATCACTTAATCGACTATTTTATTTCAGCATTACATCACACAAACGACAACATTCACTTTTGCTGTGATTTATTGTTACCTTTTGAGTTCCAGCGACAATGACAACAACAACACAGACAGATCCCAGTAATTCAGTGGAGAAAACGTCGATGCTTTGGTTGTTATGTTCTTCACTCTAGTTACCTACCATAATGAAAAAAGTACAGTGCTGAACTTGCGAGCTGTACACACGTGCATTGACATTATACTCTAAAAATACTCTATACAGTATATCCAACACCATACAGCCGTGAGGCATTCACAAGCAGAGAGGAGCCACTGTCCCTCTGGTCCTTTGTCTTGTAGAAGTACATCAAACATGTTCTGAAATCCTAAAATCACCACACAACAACTGAAGGAGAAGCAATTAAAGTTACAGTACTCATCGATGAATTATGACCTCATAATTCTTTAAGTCTACAATCAACAGTTATAAGTGCTTATATTGGAAGTGTAACAGGAAAGCAGCAGCAAGGTGGAGCAGGTTGTTTTTATACTGTACCATATATACAATATTGGGAGAGTGACCCGGTCTCAACTCCATTAAACCTCACAGTCAAATAACAGTGGCGAGTGTTGCTAAAGAGATTCTGAGAAGTCTGGAAACACCCTGCACCCACAGCAGACTGGGTTTCCAACTCCAACTGCAGTCGCGAATAAGGGATGTACACACACCTCGGTAATCACAGCGGCTCCAGAGTGGCTGACTGTTGTTACAACACGTCGCCACAGCGAAGCAGAGGTGAAACATCATGTTTGTTTACATGTATGTCCAGAGGGATGGCAAGGTAAAGTAAGGTGGTGGCTTCACGCTGGGTGAAAACACGCCTCAGTCTGAAAACATTTTCTGTTTACATTCAGTGTTTTTTTACTTCACTTTACTGGTTCCCGCCAGTTCTAACTCCTCAGGTTAGCAAAGGACTCATTTCTTATTACAATTTGCCCCAAAAATAAGTAAATCTGAATAAATATAGGCTTAATGGGACATTAAATGTCTTCTTACTTGTTTAACAACGCAGTTATGTCAGAGTTTAACTAGCTGAACCTTTATTCCTTTTAAAGACTGTT